TCAAGCACAACCAAACCATCCACAACATCAAGCACAACCAAACCATCTACAACATCAAGCACAACCAAACCATCCGCAACATCCAGTACAACCAGATCATCCACGACATCGAGCACAACCAAACCATTCACAACATCCAGTACAACCAGATCATCCACAACATCGAGCACAACCAAACCATCCACAATATCAAGCACAACCAGACCATCTACAACATCGATCACAAACAATGTCACGCTTATTGTGCCAACTAGTAAGTAACAAGATTCTATAGCGATGATTCACCTAATCGCCTCATAAACCGTTCATTTCACATTGAAAAAACAACGGAGTAAAATCACAAATTGAAATATTCCCGCATGTTTCACATGTAAAAACACAGCTAAAAATCAGATTAAAAATTATTATAGTGGCACTACTTTTATCTGATTTTAATCAGATTTTTCAGCTTTAAAGACAGATTTAATTTAGTTTTAATCTTTTTTATGTATTTTAATCGATTAGCAAACTTTAATTAGTTAAAATAGATTGTAAAAGATAAAAATCAAATGAAATCTGTCTTAAAGGCTGAAAATATGGTTAAAATCACATTAAAATAGATTATTAATCTAAAGATAATTGATTTTAATCTAATTCTGAGCCGTTTTATTTTACATGGATTTCTGTACAAATTAGGAATAAAAGTACAGCTTGTCAATTAAAATTATTTCCAAGCGAATTCCACTTTTTGGCTAACAATAAAACTCTTCAAGTATAAAATCGCTGTTTATTTGAGATTACTAGCAGTTAATAGATCTTGGTGATTAGCGAAAGAGTTTTTTTTAATTTAGACGCCTTGCATTTTGTAGTCGAGTTATATATGCTTTACTTGATTTTGGGACGAGGGGGATAGCATTTCCAAAAAAATCTAATGAAGGAATTTCAGGGTGAAATTTTTTTTATAAATAAGTTTTATGATTACCAGAAATCTTCCAAAGTTTGAGCTAAAAGGAACGCAACAACACATAAATATCCATGTTTTACAGAAATACCTGTTTGAACAGGATTTCAGAATAGAGACATTTTCATGACAAACTGATATCTTAGTGAAGATACATCCTGATTGCATCAAATATTGCGAACTTTCTAGAGACCATGAGAACAGCCTACGAACTAATCATTAGTTCAAAATTGCTTTATTAAAATTTTTCCAAAATATTAATTTGTGCCTAAAAAGTTCCATGCTCTTATCGGCAGCTAACATCATTGTACGAATATGAGAATGCTTAAAGAGTCAGGATACATATGCACGAGACGAATATCGAGCTTTTCATGAAAGATCATCAAATTGAAGCATAGAATATTTTACATGTAGATCTCATCTGGGACGCTACAGCACTATCAGCTTAACAAAACTGACAGATTTCAACGAATTGTTTTCGATACTCTTTGTAAAATTACTGAATTTGACCCTTTTGAAGTCGTTTCTAACGTCACCATGATCCATGTTGAAATCTAAATTAGTTATCTTTTCTATAATCGTAACTTGCTTATGTGCATTTATGCTGCTATTGAATTTTTTTCTAGAAACAAAAATTAGATAAATGCTTGGAGTCTTACTACTTCTTCGCTAACTGTCAAGTATTTAAAAAAAAACCTGCTGTATTAGGTCGAAATATGGTCGTTTTCAAGCATAGAGAACATATTATAATCAGCTAGAGAGTTCAGTAGTGGATTATCAGGTATCAGTAACATTGTTGAAAAGTTAAGAAAATGTAGTAGAGAGAATAAACCGTGAAACTTACAAATTGTCCTTCATATCTGAAATTAATTCAAATTGAACATCAGTCTTGTTCCATAAAGATGCGTATCTCTGTAATAGTTTTCAATGAATTTCTTTTTGTCACGTAAATCTCGTGCGTCATCAGAAATTGATTTCAACTATTGCCATCTTCAGAATTATGAAACCTTGTTGTAAATCTGTACAATAGAAGTCCACCAGTGAGATTCATGTCAAATAAAACAGGTGAATGTGGGCAAACGTTCTGAGAACTTTATTGCAATATGCGAACGATGCTCATTTACATAAGACTTGTGAATAAGATCTACATACTATTCATACACTAGCTACATTAGTTTTCGACTATTTAGGATGGTCAAACACGAACAGCATGAGTTTTGGACGATATTTTCACACAGCAACCCGCTTGGTAAATGGGAAAGTCTTAGTTGCCGGTGGATTGAATTATAATATATATAGCTATAATTTCAGTTACTTAAGTAATGCAGAAGTGTATGACCCATCGACAGGACTCTGGACAAAGACCGGTAGCATGACGATAGGACGATACAGTCACACAGCATCTATCTTGACGAATGGGAAAGTCTTAGTTACTGGCGGGTACAATTATGATGTATATAGCTATAATAATAGTTACTTGAGTAGTGCAGAAGTATATGATCCGTCGACAGGACTCTGGACAAAGACTGGACGCATGATGATTGGACGATATAGCCATACAGCCTCTATCTTGACGAATGGGAAAGTCTTAGTTACTGGAGGATACAGTTATAATGGGTCTCTGAATAGTGCAGAACTATATGATCCAGTAACGGGACTGTGGACAAGGACCGGTAGCATGTCTACTGCAAGAGCAGGTCACATAGCTTCCACCTTGACCAATGGAAAAGTCTTAGTTGCTGGTGGATACAGTTCTAATGGGTCTGTGAGTAATGCAGAAGTGTATGACTCATCCACAGGAGTCTGGACAAAGACCGGCAACATGAATGTTCAGCGACACTTTTATACAGCAACAACACTAACAAATGGAAAAGTGTTAGTTGCTGGCGGTTCATTTTATTATGGATTTAACTATACGTTTTCGAATAGTGCAGAATTATATGATCCATCAACAGGATTATGGACAAAGACTGGCAACATGAGTGTTCAGAGATCGTATCATACAGCATCACTATTGACGAATGGAAAAGTCTTGGTTACCGGCGCATTATTATATAATGAATTCGGCTATCCTAGTGTACTCAGTAGCGCAGAAGTGTATGATCCATCATCAGGATTATGGACGGCGACTGGTAACATGAGCAATGCAAAATGCGCACATACAGCAACCTCACTTCTTAATGGAAAAATTTTGATTGTTGGAGGAGAGAGTCTTAATGGCTCTTTAAGTAATGCTGAACTGTATGCATAACCGTTTGTCGACAGAAATTTCACTAACTAAACTGCAACATGAAGTTTGCATTTGTTTGACCGATCATTCACTCTTAATTTCTTGGTGATACCATCAACTTCACATGTCTGAGAAGCATTTCAAACGACATAATTACTTGCAAACTTTACGTATTCTGCTTCTGCTTATTGTTTAAAATAAAAGACAAAAACGTCAAGAAAGAATATTTAAGTGTGTAGGAGATTGTAGAACGCCAAACACTTCACACAATATTCTACGAGTAGGCTCATTTATTTCGCACTCTGCAGAGCACTGCGAATTGTGGTTCCAGATTTAATAGTGCAATTGATTTTTGCCCTCTGAGAAGGATATGTTCCTCGCGAGCTTTCACCCTCTTATAGAACCTTAAATTTACAATTTCCAGGTTGAAAAATCCACCCTCTGACCTTTTGATTCGGTCTATTACGTATAGCAGAGTCAGTGAAGGGCTTGCTATTATTTGTTTTTTTGATTTATCAATATTTGAAAGAATACAATATACTCTGGATATTTGCACTTATTGCCAATCAATAGAGAAAATTCTATGAGATCAATATATATTCAAAATTTGGAATAAGCGAGCATTTAGTATCGTCTGAAGTTGGAAGATTAACTTGTAAAAATTGAAATTAACATATTTGATCATTGGCTATGCGTTTTTCATTCAAACTTGCTATATAGACACGAAAAATTGTTCGATTTTGATTACAGTATCTTTTATATTTGTCCATAATAGTTGCGGACTGATAAAAAAACTTCAATGAGTCCTCAAATCGAACTAACCTATTTGTTAACATATTATGGAAGAAAAACGACTAAAGTAAATAGAATTTTAGTAGCTATAGGAACTTTTTCAGTATACATATGATTGACAATATAAAATACAAATCAAATTGTAAGCAGCTTTTCATACTAGTTAGTTTATTTTATATGTTTTTCATTAGCTGTTGCTCTTACCATGTATTTGTATATTTGTCGAGCCAGATGCATAAAGAAGAATTATTTAATCGGTAAGTATTATATCTTTTTTCGTTTTCGAACCATGCAAGGTGCATTTCAGAAGCACTATAATCAGTATTTATATACTCAAATTTGACGCTTGACCTACATTTTAGATGACACAAAACCATTTGCATCTGAAACAAATTAGATACGGACATTGTGAGTTGTCTCACTCGGTCAGGAACTACAGAACAGATTTGAATGGTACGATCGTCTATGGTCTCATAGTTGCAGGAAATCAGTATTTTAAGTGAGCGAATATTGTGCGCCAGTTTCAATAATGTATTAATATTGATTGTCGATTCCGAATAAGAATAAAATGAACTATTTATTTCCAACGAAAGTTCGACGAGGCGTGACAGATCGATAAGGGTCGAAAGGACACGAAGTGAGCCCAAGGACCGTTCTTGGCCAATACATAGTGTAAGTACATCTAGTTTAGGAAAAACTATATTATTCGATAAGCTACCCTATACGTAATATACAATTGTCAATGAATGATATTACTTGAAGACTATTTTATAATAATAGACAAGTGGAAATATTCTTTACTTAGCAAGATTCGTCATTCATATAATTGAACGAAGTGCTCTTTGAGTAATCATTTTAATGCTAACGTTGAAAGGGCATAATCGAAATGAATTGATGCCCACTTTAGTGATTTAGCTCGTGCATTTCTTTTTCAAAATACTGTGTGAAATTAAAGATTTCGTTTTTGCTTGTTTTCATCGCTTGATCTGGCTTTTCAATGAACTATTCCATGTTAATAACAATCTAATAACAAAAAACTGCTTAATCTATCGTGGGATATTTGATTGATGCATACATGCACATATATATAAAAGAATTGGAAGAATTTTATGAATATTCATGTCAACTTTTTCATAAACAAAGAAATCCTTTGGTTTTTTTATCATCTAGCGATTCTATATGAATAATTGAAAAATGAATTCAAAGGCGTTCGAAAACTTTGAAATTTCTCTTCGCAAAATAATGGCAGAAGAATAAGAAGAACAGTTGATAATATTAGAGGAACACAAGGTATTCGATAAGAGACAAGAAAAAGTGCAGAAAATTTGGTCATCATGTTTTCCCTTTGAGCCTTGTCATGGATTCCAAGCAAAATGTTTGATTGATCCTCTGGATCACATTTTGTACGTGAAGAACGTATCAATACAACAGCTAAAGATCCGATTTTGCTTTACATCAACTATCTCAAAGCATGATTTGGATTAAAACTCTAATATTTCAAGGTCTGCCCTGAACTCCGCCGATCTCTCTATAGCCCAAACTTCAGACCTTCATTATGTTCCGATCAATAGAGATGTTGCATGCTCAAAGTCTGAACATGCACTACTTTTCACGTGTTACATGGTGAATATGAGACCTCAAACATTCTTTCATTTTTCTTCATTCTATGGCTGGACACAGATTTGATCCCCAGTACACTAGTTAAAACTAAATGAATACATTCAAATAGTTGAAACGATAGTTGTGACAACCCATCTGTAAGTTCCATTGTCACTTGTGTATTGAACATCATGTATGAGCTGACATTGTGATTCATTTACATTGAAAAGTGCAAATGACCTGTACTTGTTGTTCTCGAGATATAGAACTTGCAAAAAATAAATAAAAGTAATAGTTTGTTGCTAGGGTCTCTTAGAAAATAAAAGATCCTTTCACGTTTTAATCATATCCATATCCTAAATTAGTATTTTTTTTTATGGAACAGTCTTTAAGTAGATAACAATAAAAGTGTAATCGAAATGCAAAATTACTCCATATATGTATAAACAAGTCTTTATTGAGCTGCTTCTATTGCGATTCACTGAGAATAGCTCATACGTAGTTTTTGAAAAATAAAAGTGAACGAAAAAGGAGAATTCTTATAATTTTTTTCTCTAATCGACCTTAGTAGGAGATTATTGAAAACCCTAACTTTCATATTGTAAGAAGAGAGATATTGGTGTCTAGCAATAAAACGAACCAATATTCGATCATACCTGTGACGATGTGACCAGAGGCATCACCTTTGTTAAATCCAAACGCGTTTTACGCACACCATCCATTACTATTTTATTATTGATAGTTGGTGCTGAAGTTGAACGCTTTATTTCCTTCGATTTATAGTCGTATTGAAATTGAGGATCGAAACTCAATGGTGTATAAAGAATGACAATGTGCGGATTGACAATGTGACCACATGTAACAAACCACTGTTTAATTTCAGTTCAGAATGATGTTCGAAATGGAGCCATAAGAAGTTCGGTGTTAACGTTGAAATCAAAATGCTGCATGCCTTCGGTGAGACAGCACTCAAATTCAGTCAATGACGGTAGCTTTATTTGAGCGAACTCTTCCCATTGATGCAAATGAGATATAAATATATGCAAATCTACAGATCGCATCAGTCGAAGATGTTCCAGCGAGGGCACAAGTAAGAGAAGCGACTCAAGAATAATCATATTAATAGTACAGTATTTGAAGGTTAGAGAAAATAATTGACGCAGTGGCTTCATATTTGACACCTTAGAAACTGTGTCATCAGTATTGTTTTCATCCAAGCTCAACTGTGCTACTACTAATGTTTGTAGATTGGGTAAATGATAAAGGATGCTACAATATTCATCGAATGTATGACAACAAATTTCCAGCTGTTGTATTTTGCACTCGAAAGGTCACGATATTTTAGATATATCGAGGCTAAGAATATTCAAATTCAACTTGCGAAGATTAGGTAAACATATAGCTGATGACAATGCATCTACACTTGTATTGCTTCGCGAATAATCTTGTTCCGAAATGAATTGATAGTGAGTTGAGTGTCAAAGTTTGAACATCTTTCAAAATAATATTCAAGTAACAATCGTCGATTTCAAGAAGAGTTAAAGAGCGAAGTCAAGTAAAGTACTTGACGCGAATGAACGAAAGAAAATATTTAATTTGACCTGGTGTTTCATCTCTGTCAGAAAGTGTAAGTATTTCAATATTCTCGCATTGAATAAAGTTACAAAGGAAAAGAAAGTCTGACTTTGAAATTGAGCTAAAATCTAATTTAAATTGATCATACGTTTTGACAATTCTGTAGAATCGTTTGCAAACGCTGCGCAATGAACGAACAATCGTCTGTGCATCGAGATAACGAAAAATGCAATGAATCAGTTCCATTGGTAACGTACAGAAAGATGGAGTCAGTTTGGTAGACATGGTCGTATGCTATCGTAAGAGTAGCTACGTCACCTCAGTATTTCTTTCCAACTTGAGACGGAAGAAAAAATTGTTTTTGCTTTCTGCAATGCAACAAACAAAAACAGAAAGCAAAAGTAAAAACACATTTTCAAGCAAATAAAACAATACACGTGTTTAATGATTCTTCCCTACAGTTCGAACGTGAAATTGTATACGTATAGATAAAAGAGAAACTTATATACTACCATTAAAAAAGAAACTAGGGAAAAGTTAAACACTCAGATTCAACATATAGTCGAACATTAGATAGAGTATTATCGATCATTTAGGAAAATAAGTTTCCTACATGTTAAGCTAAACAACTAAAAATATGTCATTAAATTAGCTTACTTTGACTGACATGGCTACTGACATTCATGCTCTTTCCACTAATGAAAAGATACAAGAGAGATATTCTCTAAAAGGAATACAAATATGAGTTTGTTAGTATGAAACTGAACATTTTCAATCGAATTTAAGTGAATTAAGAAAATTCAATGATCTCTCTGTATTTACACAGACGAGCTGACAGGATACCCTGTCAAACAGAAGAGGACAGTCATAGCTAGCTACTTCATCTGTGGTTATCAAAAGATAGAATTTTATATTGGAATAATTTGTCATTATCACATTCGAGAGAATTCATACTTGCCTAGTTTTGCTGATTCTATCGAAATGTGTTTGATACAAGAATAATTTTTCAATAGAGTAAATGTCAAGTTTAGTTATTGCAACGCAACGCAACGTCTTCTACTTCAAATCAAAACGTTTATTAGAAATTATACACAAAATATACAATTAAGGAACAAAAATCCAATATTCTACTTGGTTTCTTCCAACTTTGTTCGATATAAAAAGTTCTTATATATGAAGATAATTGGTGACTCATGTTGGCTTTTTCCAACTGACGTAAAAACATTTTATTTTTCTCTTGTTCTTTTTGTCAAACAAAATTACACGAACTGTCTTCAAGTCGTGTCTTGTTTTTTTTATTTCTTTCTCATTTATACAGAACGAACAAAAGAATACAACCTTGACAGTATTTTTTACGGGAAAGTAAGTTTAATACGATGGCATCGTTCGAACCTATTGTAGTGGTATTCGGATCCAGCAAAAGCATAGCATCTGTCAATTTACGACTACCTGTGTCGCTCTTATTGGTTTTTGATGTGACATCCCTTGAAGAGCTTGTCAGTGTTACTCCACAAATTACTGACACATGTTTATCTCGATTTTTTGTAATTCTACTCGATCCTATTGATGAAGATGTTGTGACACGTTTAAAAGAAAATCATCGTGTGAAAGCTGTATACAGACGAGACATTATGGATTCTACAAGTCAGGAACAAATGAATCGAATGACAAACTCATTTCGGCAGCTCACACTAGACGTATCAAATGATATTGTCCATTTTTTGACGTCCGAAGGTGAAAAGCAAGTGAAATTGGAACGAATCTCTTTGGTAAAGATTTATTTTCAACAAGCACGGATATTAAAACAATGGGTCATGTCGTTTTTTAAGGTAGAATCAGTAAATCTGAATTTGCTCGTTCGATTTCGTCCTATTTTAGGCTGAACCCTGTCATATTCTTCTTATTTCACTAAACAGCACCCAAGAAAATTTAGACAATGCTCAGGAAAAGTTACAAAAAGTTTGTAAGTCTTATTCCATAAAATCTAAAAATAACAGTTCATTTTTTTTATTGTCTATAAATAAAAGCATACTTTTATACAAGATTTACTAAATATCTCAACTTGAAGAAGCTATACAATGATACGATGAGCTAAGACTTTGATGATTTTATCCGATTAAGTTATTGTTACACATAGGATCGAATCAGGAAAACTAATTTATAGAAACAATTTCAATTAGGAATACCTTATAGTAGAATCTCTCTGAAATTGAAAACCTTAAGACTCTTTGAAGGTACTAATTTTAAGGAGGTACACATGCCATTAAATGATGAGAAATTTTTCGTGAAAAACAATCTTGTTCTATACAAAAGTTTTATGTAAGAACTAATAAATAGAATATACTATACATCTTTTTCTTCCTGTAATACTTTTTTTCTTAAAGTGTATTTATTTTCGGGGATACGAGTTAGTTTTCTGAGAACTTCGAGAGATACAGTTCTGGTTAGATAATCGTGAATCGTTCATACTTCTGCTTATTGTCTTTCTTATATATATAATAACCGTGAGGAGTGTCGATCATTAGTATGTTTTTAAGTTCATCAACCTTCTCGTTGCAATTCACTGTTGCACCATCACGATCAATAATTTCAACTGGCGACAGTCGTTAGAATTGACTTCTCTGACATAAAATTTTGTTCTAGAACAACTGAATTTTTTTGCAATATCCAACAGATCAAACCTTGACAGCTGCACTTTTTTTCGACATTTGACAAAAAATAAAAATAAAAAGTCGTCAAGCATTAGTTTTTTAGAGGTATTTATTATTGCCAATGTCAGAAAAGAATGCCCATTCCCTATGGTACGAAGGTGATCAGTTTAGAGATGTTGATCTTATAACAAATATTTCAGGAAAATCCTCAAGTGTTCACTTTAAGAAATTTTACGAAAATTAGTTTTCTAGAGATTTCACATTAATTGCTATGACCTACATGAAAACATAGAAAATGAAATTCTGCCATTGATTACAGTATTATGGCTGCTATTAGGAAAGGAAAATGAACTGAAAATGAATTAAACTGACGAACAACTTTGTGCTAAGACCTCAAATTATTTGTTAGATGTCGGATTTGATTCACTAGAAAAAGAAGTCATGACAGTCATGTACAGATACACGTTTGAAGAAAAACTTAATGTTTTAAATCAATTTTCTGAATGTTCAGTACAATAGTTTGCCTAATAAGTTTATCTTGTTATGTAACTCAAAGCAGAAACACAGAGTTCTTCATATTTGGTGAACAATTCTTATGCGAAACTTGAAATCTTGATTGTCTATAAGAATTTATTTGATAGCATGAAGTAGTCTAGACAAAGGAATGAATTCTATAATACAAATATAAATGTGTCTTAGGTGCAAAAATCGGCTATACTTCAGCAGTCATTCGTCAACTTAATGACTATATCCCAAGTAGTAATAGACATTCATCACTTTTGCCATATGCGGAACAACTTTTCAACAACGAAGATCCACGTTATGTTTCTCGATTCATTAAGAAACTGTCACCCATTCGACTCTATGTATATGGTAATATGTTATGCATCCCTAGTGAATGGAGCAAATTGATGATTGCAACTGAAATTGACATCATGGACGATGAAGATGACTGGTGTGCGTTTCTCGAGAACGAGTCAGTTGCCAGTGAAATAAAATGGAATTTCGGCTTTATTTTTGGCCGAGAATGGGCAGTGTCTCGAGTGGCACCACTTGATCTTACTCGATTGGAAGAAAATCTTCGATTTCACTCGGCACTTCGGCGAGCTCACGCTACATTTGCTCCACGACAAATTGAGGTTACGGCAGAAATATTTGACTGGCATGCACTTTGTATCAAACAAGGACATCTTCGAGAAGAAGTAATATTCCAATTCTTTGAATATCATCAAATGATTTCATTAAGTTCTCTTTTCAATAGCCTAAATTGACTTGTCAACTAGAAGGAATAAAATACCAGCAAATTCGGAAGCTCGATCTTGAATGGTCAAAAAAACACACCTTTCAACATCTGTCTTCTTTTGATTATCCCCGTTTCGAGTCAACAAAGATCAAATTAGTTTCGTTTATATGGCTTGATGAAATGTTGCATGATACTGATATTGAATTTCAGCAGATTATTAAACCATTTCAATGGCAATTCTTCGACAATATATCCTCATGTGTGTCATTCATTGAAATGCAATTACGAGAACGACGATATGTCTTTCTGATTACCTCAGGATCACTTGGCAAAGATTTATTTCTCGCAGGATTGTGTTTGATGCAACAAGTTTTTGCTACATATATTTATTGTGCTCAAATTCAACCCAATTTGGAATGGAGTCGCGATTATTCGCAAATTCGAGGAATTTATAATGACTCTACAAAACTCGCTAATCGAATCAAACAAGATTACAAAAAGCTTCAAACCTCGTTGGGCATCAGCGAAATTGAATGGTATACTGCACTGAGTACCAATCACGAAAATAAAGTGAGATTGAATTTTGTATAGACATAAGATAGAAACTTAATAGTAGATGTAATAAAATTGTTTTTCTCCAACACTTTTAAAGGAGATCATACTCTGTTTAATCCATTAATCGATATTTCGGAAGGTTAGTTTTAAAATAGGGAACCTTTAAATAGTAAGCCACTCATGTGAAGTCCAGCCTTGTTAACAGTGAGATTTGAGCGTTGAAAATTCCTGTTACATAGAAAAGATACCAACTCAACGGAATGATTTCGTCATATTCCACCGATGCTTGATAATTTATTTTGCACCAACTCAATTTGTGTCTTAGTGAAATTCAGACGCTCTACAAAGTTGATTTGAGTCAGCTCATAGAAAAGTCATTTCTTGTAAAGGATATACGCAAATAAGAGTCTGTTCGACCATCAAAACAGACACAGATATTGTCATAGATCTTCAGAACTTATGATGATAGTTTATTTGAAATTTCATACATTGCCAGATATCTATAAAATTATGTAAACAAACCGAATTTTTGTAATTTCGAGTAATAATTTTTTTTTCTCTATATCTAATTGGAGTCACTTCAACTGTTGCATATGAAAAAGAAAACTTTATTGCATATTCTACTCTTTAGATTTTACAGAATGTAGAAGATGTGAATTCACTATTGCCTCTGCCAATAACTGTTTATAATCCAGAGGAACCTCATTTGTTCATGGCTCATCAGCGAACAATTGATAGTCTTCTTTGCATGCCACATACACTTGAATCAAAAGCAGAAATGCTTGCTGAATTTCGTCGTACATTCAATGATAATCAAGAGATTCTTGCCGAGATTGATAACTTTGAAAATACTTACCATTCAAATGCAGCTGTCCAATGGTATACACGTGATTCATTTGTTTGTCGAACAATTAATCAAGCACTTCGATCAAGTAACGTCGACATGATGTTTCAATTGCGATACATTCTCACTGATCTCTATGCCCATTTGAATGAATCCTATCGACAAATGCATCGATCTTTACAAATATCAACACCTGAGACATTTTATCGTGGCCAATTGATGTCAAACAAAGAATTTGATACTTTCAACACACTTCGAGGTAGTATTATTTCGATAAACACATTCTTATCAACGACAGCATCAGTACAGATTGCTCTTATGTATGCGGGAAAATATCATGAAAATCCTGATCTGGTCTCAGTCATATTTAGCATTGAAACAAAGCCAGAAGCACTTGCACGTCCATATGCAAATATTTCTCACTATTCCATGTTTCAAGATGAAGAAGAAACTTTGTTTGCCATGGGTAGCGTCTTTCGCATAGGCAATATTCGTCAACTGCCAAATGCAGACAATGTTTGGGTCATTCATTTAAAAACGATTAATGAAAACGATTATCAATTTAACCTGACTCATTTGGCAACGGCGTAGAGTTTTTAGAAATGACACAAGTAATTTTATTTTTGCAATCAAGAAATCAGTCTACCTTTTTAATTACAACATTAAAATAAAATAATTAGATAAATATAATACCCCTTAAAAAAATCAATCTTTATCCAACAATTTCTTGTCTAATATCGCGAAGTTTCCTCTTTTCATTATAGCATTCCTCTTTAAATGGATCAATCGTCATTTTTGCTATCATGTAGCACTTGTTTTTTATCAATGAGAAATAGGTCTCTCATAAATCTATGATTCGTATCGATCGGCCATTTTTTGATACTTAGGATTGGTGTTCCGGACTCAATCGAAGCTAACAGAATCAAAACAAACACGTAAAATTACTCCCTGTAAATTTGTAAGAAATCGACCAATGTTGGTCACAAGTAGACAACGCTTTTCATTCTGATAGTTAGCACACCACGTACATACATGAGAGATAACAATCATTTAATGGCTTGATTATCAAAACGTCCTTGTAAGATGCCTCAAGTGTTTCAAAGAATAAGTGATCTTTGTTTATTGTTTTTCTGCACTAAGTATCGCTCTATTTTTTCTTACAATGTGCCATGAAATTTCGTAGTTTCAAAAAAATAACTATGCAACCGCATTGTAAGCTATGATTGATTCTTTTCAGTGCAATATATTTTGTCGATAAAGAATGCGTTCGTTGTTATTGGACTACAACTGGTGGTTTTCAATAATTTGCTTTGGATAACATCATGACATCTTGAGTCAGTCTGTTTCATGGTTCAACACGGCAAAAGGTCAAATTATTCGTTGATTCTAGTTCACATAGAAATTATTGTTGATGCTTCCACCACATTCGTTTCCTTTGACTAGTTGCCAATACTAGATCATGTAAATATGATTGATGACAGCGAAAAGAGATTAATCAAGAAAGATAAATGTCAAGCTTCTCACAGATGAATTCGAGGTAGTTGTCAGATGGCAAAACTGCAATCAACGTCAAATTTAGCTATCAACCAGTGCTGATACCATATGATGGTGAAGATCTTAGTATGCGTTCGATAAGACGTATTGCCAAACTTTCGCAATCAATATTGACCATTAATTTAATGTTTGATGTATTCATGTCAATGATAAACACATTGCCCGTATGACAGGTGTAAGCGACTTCAATCTGAACTTCAGAAATGATACTGGGACGTCATGCTTTTTATCGTATTATTCTATGAATATCGACTGAATGAAAATGGAGTTAATATATTGAAAGACCTCTTCGAATTGTGTGAAAATACATCGCTTTGATAAACATGTTTCTTAAAGATGAATCCTCAATGCTTCACTACGTACTACAAAGCTCATGTTTTTCTCTCATCATCTTCTATTGTCAAGTTCAAGAAACTCTTGATGACTCAGCTCACGGATATGCATTGCCAGCATCTTAATGCCAAAGATACCCTTTGATTTAATGAAAGAATCCTTCCTAATGTGAGGAGTATATGTATACATATAAAGATGAACATTTTCTATACTGGATCTAAATATGCATTGAACACTAATATTTTTTATAACAGTCTATGAAGCATATTTTAACGACAACATTATACTAATTCTATTCTAAAAAAATCAATAACATTTATACTTTTATTATCCGTGACACTCTTACAAATCTTAGGGTAATTAGTGAATCAGAATTGTTCCAGATTTTGTGTGTTTGTTTTTTCACACATCAAATAATTTTTTCTAATATCGAACACTATTTCTTTGAGAGAATCGGTGTCAGTCTATTCTGTTCAATGAAAATTCCTTATGTTTTTTACTAGAGTTTATACTCTACTTTGATAGAATAATTGAAATTTCTCAATCAGGATTTCATTGAACGAAAATGTGATGCTGAACATTAAAAGTCAATAATGCATTGCATTTCAAAAAATAGTCTTGTTCGTTTTTGATTCAAATTAGCTGCTATCTACTAATTCGATTAAACACTAATCAAAGAGTAAAATAACAAAGCTAAAAATTAATTTTACTTGATTTTTGGAAAAGACATTGATTAATCAAAATTTGATAGATAATGGAATGAGCTAGATGCGACTTGGCAAGCTCTGTCGAACGATGTATGTTTCATTTGATTGAAAGCAAACCATTGTTGGTTAGGACCCATGAGATGCCTACTGCCATGAATTCAGAGAGTATTTGCTCTGACGATTCACGGCGCCACTTAAACTATTAACAGGGCATAGCGTAACCTCCCCCCAAATAGAAGGCCACCCCCTGTATAAGGCCATGTCTGAGCAAAAGTTCAAACGCCCTATTAGAAGGCCATGGACTAATTAATTAATATATTCCAAAATTATCGAAATTTTCATAAATATTAATTAATAATTAAGGAAATATAACCGATTTTCTAATGTTTTTTTTTTGCGAAATCCTTCCTTTCCTATCATAAATAGTACAGTTTTTACAAAAAATGGTAGTTTTTTCAGCAAAAAACCACCTAAAAAACAATAATTAAAGTTATTAATTAATTATTCATTTTTTAAATGATTTTAATTAAAAACTGGTCAAAAATTGACCCCCAATAGAAGGCCCTCCAAAAAGTAGCGATGTGCCAATACACTGTATAAGAGCATGTCCTTTTATTCTGGGGGGAGGGGGGGGGGGGGGGGTATTCAATTCAGCTTGACAGGATCTATTGAATCATGTCTGTTTATTTCAATTGAAAGCAAACCGTTGTTGGGCAGTAGCTCTGAGGTACTTAAAATCAGGTTTTCAGAGAGTATTTGTTCTAACGATTCACTCTACCACTCGAGCCACTAATTAGACATAGTTGATTTGATGCTGCTTGACAAGCTCTATCGAATGATGTATGTTTCATTATGTAGATAGATTTGTGTACAAATACTTCTGTTCTAAAGGAAACATAAAACTCAACTTTGAATATCATAGGAAAGGTTTATCATGCGTTTCATCAAGAAATAGGATTTGAATAGATCATTGCAAAGGAATGTATTCAGATAATGAATTAATATCGATCGAAAATGTTGCTTTTCAACACCTATTGAAGATTAATGACTCAAATTCTGGTGAAGTCAAAAGTGTCATCTATTTTTTCTTTACATCGAATTTTGTAAACGATAATCCTTGACTAAAATAAATCAGTGAAAATTTTTGTTGTCTTAAAAGAATTATTTTTAAACTACTTTCATTCAGTTTTCAAATTAAACTCAGCAATTGAAACTATGTTAATTCAACAAAGAAACATCAAATGTAATAGACTTTTTCTTTACGTTTTAAATTGTTGAACATAGAAGAAGACAAATATATGCCGTCGTCACCACGTGTATGAGAAAGAATAGTTGACGACAACATGTTTCACTTCCGAGCTGTTTTTTATTTGACTAATGAAAACGTTTTTTTCTTCCTGCTGTTTTACCTATCAACGACAAGTTTCTTTGAATAGAAGACAGTCAACACAGGTCATATTCCATTTTAAATTTTCTCTTTACCTTTTTACAATCAAAAGAAAAAAAAAACAAAACGCTTGCTGATTTCTTTTTTCTTTGTAAATACAACAGAATAAAAAGGAGTTTTATCTTTAAAAAAAAACAAGTTATTTTTGGTATAGCAATAGAGACGGATGTAAGAAAGAAAAATTTCGGCGACGTCTGTCTTTGGTGAAGGACATTTTTACTTGAATTTCTTATCAACTGCGCAATTGTATTTTGCCGATCGTTGTTACTCTTAGTGGTCTTTTTACACACATTAATTTATTATAACAATGGGAACCAGTAACTCAAAACAAAAGATTGATACGCTCGAACAGCAACAACAGGCACTTATGAAACAGAATGCTGAATTGGCACAACGTCTGACTGAACAAGAAGAAGCAAATAAACGGCAACATGAAGCAACAATTGAACAGATGGCCCGACTTTTATTAGCCCTTGCACAATCAAAAAATAATGAAACAGTTATACGTGATGAAAAAGGAGAAATTGAAATTGAAGGTACTACATATGAAATCGTTCAATTCGTAAATCGAGGTGGTTTCGGTGAAATTTATAAAGCAAAAGTTAAAAATAAAAATATGATGGTTGCTATTAAAGTCATGGAAAACACACCCGGTATACAAGAAGAAATCAGAAATGAAATTAACTTTTTACGTTTAACTAAACAAATTCCTATTGATAATCATCCTATTATCGAATTTTATGGTAGTAAATTAACGAAAGAAGGTATTTTTATTGCAATGGAATTAGCTGCTTGTGATCTTGTTACATTTTGGCTCAATAAAGTATCCGAAGGAGATGCTCAAGATATCATTGTTAGTGGTATAATTATTATTATTTATGTATTACGTGCATTAGCATTTCTCGAAAAATTAAGTATTATTCATGGTGATATAAAACCACAAAATCTTGTTATTGTTCCGAGTGAACAGGGTTTTTGTATTAAATTAATTGATTTTGGTACAGTCGAAAAGATGAACACTTTACGTGCTCATCTTACAGTCGATGCTAACAAGTCTCATACTTTATATTTTGCTTCACCAGAATTTTTACATCGTAATTCAAAAAATATTATGTCAAGACGTCTACATAAAAAATCGGATGCATGGGCAGCTGGTGTTATGTTTTATCTTTTATTTTGTGGTGGATTACCATGGAAAGATCAATATGAATATGAAAATTTTTGTAATGATAAGGATGCAAAAGATGTTGCAGTACCAGCAGATGGTGGCTATAAAATGATTATTGAACTTTTATTAAAAAAGAATCCTGATGATCGTTCGAGTGCTAAAGACACACTTATGCAATTAAAAGCACATCCGGTATTCGGAAAGATTGTCGAGTCACTGGATAAAAATTTTTGCCCTGTTGATGACGTATGTTATATGAAGGTACCTAATGATGTTCGACAAGGGTTAGGTAAGTTAATTATTAAATCTACAAAAATAATTAAAATTAGAACATATATTTGGATCTGCATTCTTTTTTCATCGTATCATTGTGGTCAATATATAATTAACACGAAAGGATAGATGAGAAAATGAGATCTTTTTTTGTTTTGAAACATATAGTTTTTCATTTAAAAGAAAACCGAGCAAAATGAAGTAACTACTATGTTGGTGTAGGTTCTTGAGATTAGATATTATGGTTATGAACACTCAACATATAACCTTGGTAAAAGATATCTTACCAATGACAGCATTTAGATTTCCTTTCTTTCTTCAAACAACAGTGGAGTTATACTTAAAAAAAAAAAAACTTTCAATTTCTGTTTGAAGCATGACTAAAGAGTTGTTCGATCTTAAGGTTTCGAACAGGTTCGCTTTTCTTTTGAATATGCTACTGGTCGAATATTAAATGCAATAAAAACATATTGGGTCAAATCGATCAGATTTAATGTTTACACTAACGTTCAAGAAATAATTATACAACCCCCAATGCTCTTGTATGTTACAAAATCTTTTTTGTATTGCTTCACTTCAAGAAATTCATTCTAATTGTTTATATTATTTTTTACTACTTTTTAGTTCAACTCGCACGGCCTGGACATTATGCTGGTGGATCAGATCGATCATCAACTAGAGATACATGTAAGTATAGGAAATGATCACTGTTTGAAATACTATGTCACCGATTTAACGTTTGCTTTAATGTCTATTGACAGCTGAGCGTCGTTCGTGTAGATATGGCCGAGAATGCTACAGGTTTTGTAAAAATATGTTCATTGAATACTTTTGTTTTTATCATTAATATCATCTTAATATAGAAAAGACCCTGATCATCGTGCAGAGTTTGCACATCCAGGTGATTCGGATTATGGCCATTCGGACAAGATACAGTGCCGTCACGGCGCAGGGTGTTATAAGTATGTTTGTTTACCAATATTTCTGTTCAAAAACTCATGGAAGAGAAGACGATCTGAAAGAAATCGAATAATGATTTTCTAATAAAATTTTTGATTTCTTAGAACAAAACCGAACAACTTGTCAAGCAGGCTTGGGTAGTTCCGACTCCAATGCTCGAATCAGATTGAAAATGATGTATTCCACATCCTCCACACACACCCTCTTTCAACATTTATGCTTTTCTATCAATCTGAACGCAATTTTTTGCATTGCGGCCTAGGTTAAAATATAGATTGATATAGTTTTTCAAGAAAGTTCGATCGAATCGAAAAAATAAATGAAAAGTTATTTTAAAAGCCACAAATCCTTAGAATTTTTCAGAAAAATCAATCGATGAGTTTGAATGTAGTCAACGATAGTTTGATCAAGTTAAATCTACAATAGCTAATGTGTTATTTTTTTCTGTTTTTAAGTGATGATCCCAATCATCGAAAACAATTTGCACATCCGAATAAAACAAAACGTGATCATGTTGGCAAGGAAAAATGCCGCTTTGATAAGGCCTGTACAAAGTATGTTATATTTCTTTTGAAATATGTTTAATTTTCTTTATTATAATTTTGATCTAGGAGAAACGATCGAGATCATATGAAAAAATACTCACATGATTGATTCTGTCTACCAAAAATATACCACGTCATCTCTTATTCGTGAAATAGAAATGGTTCAGAATAAAAAAAAAAAGAGTGAATTTTTGTCTTTTGAATGCTTTAGTTTCAAACGTGTGTATACATTATAAACACAGGGCACTAATCAAGCGTTTATTTTTCATTCAGATCTTTCAAAAGGTTATTTTGATATACAGTAAAATCTTTCTATTGTGAAAATCGACGAAAATATTCAAAAACATTGGCTTTAAGAAGATGTTTATTATATACATATAAGTTTTCGCTTATTTTAAACGAAACTAATTTCTATTGTCTGAAGAACTCAGCAAACATAAATACTAGTATCTTTTCTTTTCATTCCGATCATGTTCAGATTTTCGAAAAAGCTTAATTTTTCTTTTAAATGATTAAATTTCAGAAATACTTAGCATATAAAGAGGATATTATGAAGAAATTTCTCAAAATGAACAATATTTTCATCATACCATTCAGAAACATTCATGATCAAAATGCACAAATTGATCAATTCATTTTTGACATTCACCAATATATAAGTAACAAAGTTCAAAAAAGTTTCTATTATAATTCTTATATGAAAACGAAAGTTCGGGAACTACTATGAGACTATCAAGGACTGTCAGAGTAAATATGGTAGTTGTTAGCACATCAGAAAGAGCTTCGTATGAACTTCAGGTAATATTTCGGTTATTCCTTGAAGAATTTCATAAATACTATGATACTGACGTAATAAAGTAAGTTTGAAAAAGTTTCTTTAATTTACATGTTCATAGATCAAAATATAGATTCACAAGAATAGAAAAATCTATCGCAAATATTAAAAGAATTTTCAGGAATGTCAGTAACTACTGTAAGGTAAGTCATTGCTATGAGAATTCCTTAGTATCTATCAAAATTATTTGATGATTACTAGAAATTCTTTCAACCGTGGAAGTAGACTTCCTCATCGATCTTCATCTTGCCATCTATTTACAATAAAATTAAAAAAGAATTGTTTGAAGTTCCATAATCACAATAGCTTCCGAGGAAATAATGAATTTCCTTCGAAAGTCAACGAGAAATTTCTTTTCATGTGCTAGTATTTTTCAATTTCCTATAGAAAATTCATTGTGAAATGTTAATAATTATTGTAATTTCTTTGATATTCATTGCTTATCATCCAGTACTTCCCAAAATTAACTGGAAATCTCCTTATAATATTTGAGTAATCATTGAAACTCATTGATATTGGTTTTTCAGGTATTGATAAATTTCCGATAATTTCGTGTATTGTGATTTTGAATGACTCTATAGGCTACGTTGGATATTATGGCTGTGTTGAAAATATTATCTTTCGCAACTTTGAACATTCCTCATAAGTTGTTGATTGTAAGCTTCATTCATTCTTCTGTGTCTTGATCACATGCATAGGAGTTGCACAATAAGAAATCAAAGAATTGCTCAAGAGTGCAAGCAGAAATGATGCCATCGTCATACTTTCGAATTAAGAATTTTTGACTGATAAGTTTTTTATTTAAATGATACGGTCTACTACCAAAGATCAATCGTCAAAAAAATAGCTCGTTTATTAGATCTTAACTTGATATAACTAGTGTTTGTATAACGCCAGTTTTACTTTTATTTCTTTCAATGAGCATAACTAGAATTATATTTTTAAATCACTAGAGAGATAAAAAGGGAATAAATGGTCGAGGAATCGAATTATCTCTCGTCGTTCCTGAGTATTATTTTTTTTTCAGTCTTCTCCGAGTTCTCTGCAACTAATTGCAAATGTGACGTGTTTCAATCGGTTCATCTGGATTTTGCATGTTGATAATGATAGTATCGTGATTTGAACAGAAATCAATGCTAAGAGCTTTCAGTAGCTAATATTACAGTGTTGTTGTGTAATTTTATTGATACACACTGGAATATTTGCAAGATTCGACTTTAACCGAAACATTGTTTCATTCAAATATGTTCTATCCAATTCATTATACACAACACACTGAACTATTTCTCAATAATTGTTGTGGTCAACAAGTGCAAGTGATAGTTTCATATGATGGGAATCTTTATCGAAATAATTCTACTAATTTTAATAACAACTTGTGCAGCTTTATTGACAGTTTGTTTTCGGAGAATCATAATTCAACTGCTTATTTCTCTACTAGATATATTTTCAGTCGACATGTCAATAAAGTCTGCATTTTCCGATTCAATGGTAAAACCTGTTCATCATGTGGTTTCTAACGTAACAATCGAAGGATATTGTTGGCTTTCAGATTATAATAGATTATTCAAAGATTTCAAGCAGTTCTTAGAATAAATGATTGCTTAATGTAGTCTTTACGTCTATATGAATACTAAGAATCTTGATCTTATTAGATGTGACAGTTACATATCACTCGTTTCTTTTTCTTCTACAATTTAAAATGTTTCAGTCAGAAATGACAAAGAGAGCTTATTTCATTTTGAATATTAGTCGATACAGAACAAGGATAGACTCACAAGAGATCTTTCTCAGATTGTCTCTCTACTTTAATGATTTTTTTTTGTGAGAGATACTACAAAATGAATTAGCATGAATAAAGAGTTTTAGAATTTTCAGACTAAGCATCTCTGAGATATAGACTTTTCAAAATATTCTTGCATTATACAATACATGATGAAAAAGGAAGTACATATTTATTTAAAAGTTCATAAATCGAAAAAACTAAGCAAAAATACATTCGAAACTACTTATTCACACTACTATGTAGGCGTTCTATAAGTGCGAGAAGTTCCAGGATGAAGTTTGAAAACAGATTTTTTCAACAACTTCATGTTGTACAGGATCTCTGCCAATGCGATATATTAAAGGTTTGATAAGCCCAGAAAATCTTAATTAATATCTAAATTCTTTCATGGTTTTTAATGAAATACTCTGCAGTACAACTAGAGATAAAAATCATTGACATAGAAAAGAGAAATATATGTTCAATTATTTTCTCGTGTTAAAAAAAATTCTTATTCTTTACACAGACAATCACAATACATGAGACAACAAATATAAGAATCAACTGATTTTGTCGAAACAATTCATTTTTTTTTCTACTGTTAATACATTTTACAAAATTTTCGTTCAACGAATCATAATTGTCAAATGAATATAATTTCATTTTATAATTAGTCATTACAACAGAAAATTCTAATTAAAACGTTATCCATGTCTTATTTTAGATTTATTTTGAGAATATCTATTTACAGGATGAGAACATAATCTTATTTTTTTTAAATTTTGTTTAACTATTCGATGCTTTGTTCTATTGTTGAATTTCTTTTTTTGAACAGTTCACGAAGAATATCTCCATGACAACGATTAGGTTTACACCAACATCCTAATCTTTTTCCAGCTAGTTCATGCAGATCATCGAGTAGATTATTTTGATTTGATTCAATATATTTTTTATAACAATCCAGAGCACCATCTCGTCCATATTGTTTAACAGAATATGGATTATGCCATTTACTTTGATTCAATTGCCAACCACCCATATTGCAAGCACGACCAATATAAATATCACAATCTTGTACAATTTTTCCTTTTGAACGACGCAAATGAACTACTGTTGGTAGATTGGATACAGCTTGAGTTTCATTTGTTGGTTTGTCTAATTTTAACAATTTAGTACGAATATCAGTTGAATCATCAATACTTTTACGTTTCTTTTCTAGTTGCATTAATCTAAAACTATTCGAAAAACAAACAATTACTACATATCATGATTAGAATATATTACGTATATTCAAATTATTGATATTTGCTCGTACATGAACATTATCATACTAGATGTTACTGAATACAGATAATCTAATTTTTATCATATTTTCTAATGTAAAATAACGAGTCAGATTTAACAATATGCTTTAACACTATCAATAACATCTTCTTCAAACCTTTGAAAGTCTCATAAACTACTGAAGCAAAGAAATAGAATGAAATAGTGACGAGCAACACAATGATTCATCTAGAAGTTTCGTAAGTTGGTAAGATGTATTTTTTTTGTTTTCCTTTCAATTTCTATGGTCTTTTTCACAACCATTCTCTTTTATCGCATTTAAAATTGCGCTGTATATAAAAGTAAAGAGGTATTAGCTTGGTTTACTATAGGGCAAAAAAAAACACCGTTGTCTCATCGTCTTCATTATTTGATAGGCAGTTACAACAGACACAAAAACTTAAAATAAATAACGGCAAAATAGGATGGAATATGGATATAGTACTTCTCGTTACGTACACACCCACCTTCTAATGCAAACATGAGTTCGTCTTACCTATTAACATAATTATCAATTAGTTCAGATCATAATGATATCATTGACTATTTGGGTGAATGTCTTTCAATATCACTGTTATTATTCGAAGAATTCATCGTGTGTTCTTTATACTATGCCTTTTATAGTAGAGAAAAAGCGTATCAGTTTGTTGATAATGAAATATTTCAGAAAGACAATCAATTTGATTTTCAAATGAACTCTAATATTTAACTGTTGACTTAAGGAAAGATGAGAAAATTAATTGATCATGTTACTTCGCAATGAAAAGAACATCTCAAATACATGCTTAGTTTTTTAGAAAAGCAAGTAATAGAAATGTCATCGAAACCTTTTATATCAAAATCACATACAATTTATTTTTATTTCAATTAAAAAAATAAGAAAATTTGAATATTTACATGATTAAAAAGAAATCTAAGTAAAAAAAAACAAATAATTCACTAATGTAGCACAATATCATAATTTCTTTCAATAAATCGTCGTTATAAAGTTTTCTTCATTGTTATTTTACCTTTTCTTTCTGCTAATATTTGCAAGATCAGTAATAGAACCAATAACACTCCTATTATGACATGATCATACGCTATTTGTTTCAAATAATGTTCTTTTGTAGTATTGCTTGCTTGAGTTTCTGTTGCTAATAATTCAATATGTTTTTTTATTTTAAATAGAAAAATGCCCACTACTGCTAAAAATGCTGGTACGCTCAAAATATCATAAATCGATCGTTTCATATTTCGAAACATTACTACAGCACCTATGAGCATTGGTAAGAGTGTAGATAGTGATGTGTACCATGGTTGATGCAAAGCATTTTGATAGTAGGAGGTACATGTATTAAATTGAAAAGAAGTTAGTGATGAAGAAACAAGCGAATAATGGTCACAAAACATATCGATGCATAAAAGACCTGATTAACAACAGATGAATAGAAAATCAATTAAAGAAAAAAATTGAAGACGTACCAAGAGCAAATGAAATAACACACGCTGCTAAAACCATTTTCCTGTCGTAATAGATGAAGACACAACAAACAAACTATCTGAAATAGAAGTGATACAACTGTGATACACAGGAACAATTATGAAACTTTTTTTATAATACAAATCAAATGGTTTGAGATTTATAGGAATAAAAAAGAAAGCGAACGAGAAAATGGTATTAAACACTGCTGTCGTGATCTTATCGTCATTTGAATTCACAAGATCAAAGATGTGTCTAGTGAATTTTGTTTATCCAAATGAACTTTTTTAAAAATAAATCTCGTTTATCAAACAGAGTTTTCTACCTGTTTTTTTTTGTTATCTTGAAACGAGACAAGCTGCAGTATAAGATCGGTTGATAAACAGTGTCGCGAGAAATACCAATCACCTGCATTATGCACTAACAGTGGTGACATCTAGTTCACGCTGTGAGATCAGAAAAACAATTACGACAGACGTAGTAAAAATCAGGTAGTTTACTAAACTGTATATTTTGTTTTCGTTTAAAATGAGTTTCACGTTCAAGATGTCACTACAGGACGGCTATTAGACTAGTTTCAAACGAGTATAGTAGAAAGCTTGTCATGATATTGAAACTTATAATGGCATCATTGTAAATAATCAGATGCCGACTCTGGAAAATGATTCGTACCCTGTTTCGTCGCGCTTCATCCGTTCCTCACGAAAGAACGTGTATACTTTTTATTGAATGAAGTTTGTTTACCTGTACAAAGACATATTTCCTCTTTGGCCATGTTGGTAGGTTGCGCGGAGGAAATGTGTTAAACTGTCGTTTGTACTTTGTTCTTTTTTCTCAGTATCAATTATTTTCCATTTTCTTTTGGGTTAATGTGCTGTTATAATATACGAGGGCGTACAGTCGAAAAATTAGATAGAATCAAGTACTCTTCACCATTTTCCATATCTTGATGAAACGTTTTGAACGTAGGTGAGTCTATCTGTTGTTGAAAATATTTGCAGTTTGGGACTCAAGCGAATTGTGACACATTTTGAATATTCTTCAGGGTCCCTTCAAATACTTTAGATTTCATCTATACATCTGCTCTGATGATCCTAGAATCATCAACAAGATAGTTATTATATACTTTTATGAAGAATCTTCATAAAAATTTTGATCATAATACTATATAATCTTTCGTTATTTACAATACGAAGAACTAATGCCGGCGCAGGACCTTAAAGTATTCAGTTAAAAATTGAATAAGTCAAGAGCACCCAGCAGATATCGATCTGCGATTTTCACCAATCGAAAGAGAAGACATGAGAACGATTTTTTCTTCGACAAGGAAATAGAACAAAATCATTTTGAAACCAATGATTTCCGAATAACATTCAAAACAATGTATAAAAATAGTCTGTCATTCTAACGAAACAGATAACAAATCATAAAATTTGCTTAGAAGTCAACAGAAAAATTCCATATTACTTGATCGAACAGATACATAATTTGATTTTTCTTAGGGTTCGACTATGAGAAAGCAATTATTCAAATTGTTTCTTGAATTATAAATCTGAAGTTCCTCTATCTAGGCAGCACGTCAAAATCAAAATTTCATCAGAATGACAGACCATTTTCATACTTTTTTTGTTGGAATATCTTGCAGGAATCATTGTTTTCACAATAACTTTGTTCTGCATATTATTGAAGAACAAGGTGTTTCCTCTCTTTCGATTGCTGAAAACTGCAAACTGCTTTTATTCTCGACTTATTCGATTTTTAACCGAGTACATTCAAGTCCCATGCCGACATTGATCCGGTTTGCCTTTGCTTTGATGCTTTAAATGAAGATAAAAAGTAGATTAAGTAAATATACTACAAGCATGTAATCAGTTGAATGATGGATACGTAAAAGCAACTGGTTTGATTGCAGCATTCAATTTGCATAAATATGTTAATTCTTTGGTCAACAAATTTTAAGTAGAGTTTATAATGACATTATGTGAAAGAAAATGGATCGAATATTCATTCGCTCTCAGATTCAAATAAATGTGTTCAGTTAAAATTACTTGAGAAATCATAACCGTTATGATTATTACAACCATCTGTGTCGTTAATCATTTGATTTCCAATTCTATACTCATGTGCACTATCGTTTCTTCGTTCGCATTTGATGACGTATACATGTTATTGAGTTCTACTAAGCAGATATACACGTTACATAAAAAGAAAAAGAACAAGAGAAACTACATGGTATCTTAGTAAACTTGCAGTCATATTGAAGCTTACATATGAAGTATGATGAGAATAAATATCACCAGTTATCTATCTTCAAACTAAGCACAACAGGTGTCGAACTAATGAGAGAAAACCGAATCAGAATGATGAAGACAACAAAACGATCCGATCATTACATCCAATATAATAGAAGCTCTAATATATTCGATTGATCTCTCCTTTATTGCATTAATTTTGCAAACAATGGACACAACTGAAATGACAATGGAAGAAGCACTGATCAATGCAGGATTTCGGAAAAGGTATTTTTCTCTTTGTATCCTTAGTAATCATGCTTATCTTATTGATTATCGCCAACGGGTTTAAGTAACGGATGGCTAATAACGAATGACGGCCACAACATCGCGTAAACATTTCATTCAGTTTTATACTGCAGAGATGATCCTTTTTTTTTAATATTCTCTATGGAATTCTCGACGGAACCAAATGAAAAAACCTTACAGACAATATAACTGCAAAAAGTAATCTGCTTATCAACAATGTGTTTCAGAAATGATTTTTATAATGATATTCTAATCACTTTTTGAATTTTATGTCTCTCCAGAAATAAATATAGAAAAAACCTTCTATACATCACAACCAGAGACCGAAACGAATAAGAAAATCTCAATTCGATTCTGTCCAGATCGAAAAACAAAATTACTTCTTTGCCACGGGGAATATGTATCTACATCCTACATAAATTTCTACTTAATTTTTCGTGTGTCTTTATGCTAAATTTATCGATTCTTATACATCGTTGAAGGTATTAGTTTCTGAATTTGCATAAATAACGTTGATATAGGTATCATATGCTCGGAGAAAGACGCATATATTAGGGAAAAAAGTATACAAACTTCTAATTTCAGTTAAATTATATCTTAATTTCCAGATCTACAATGCAGTTAAGAATTCTTAAATTTGGCTGAATCAAAAATCATAATCAATGAATTAGAAAGCTGCGTCTCAGTTTTTTCAGTCAACTTTTACAAAGTCAGTTATCATCTCAATTAGCAAATCAGAATATGTAACAGAGTAAAAAATCGGTTTTAACGAGATTAGAATAGAGATTCCTTAGCAAAAAAGCTAGATCTTAGCGACAAAAGCTGCATATTATATTTCAGAAGTGCTGAAACCACCTTTAATCTTGCATTATAGAATTTTCTTTTCGAAGTATACCCTATAGTGTAGAATATCTAACCTTACTACTCTCAATCGTACATTTCCTGATTTACGTTAGAAGATATTGAATATGAATTCTAACGTGATGTGAAATCAGATAGCAACACATAAGAACATCGATTCGGCAATCGAATCGAAAAAAGAGCAACAATAACAGGACTTAAAGAATATTATAAACAACGAATAAACTTCATCAAACACTGAACAATCCAGTAATTCATTTATCATGCACGCTTTCATCCAACATGAGATATCCATCTGCATCTTTGAATCATATAATAGTTTTACTTCCAATGACATCTTACTCTTATTTTTCTGTATAGAACCAATTATCAGAATGCAGATGTATACAAAATCTTCAGCATATTGTATGGTTTAGGTAAGTCGTGCTCAGTCTTAATGAAAGGTTAATAATAAATCATTTATCAGTACATATTCAACAATTAGCAGATTTCTTTAGAATATACATGTTGGTATTTCAACTCGGGTTCAGACTGACTTCAGATGGGTCTAGTTGGATCAAATGTTAGCCTGAATAGGAGTTCGAACATCGACATGTATCGACTTGTCTAAGCATTACGCGAGAACGTTGTCGCTGGAGAATTTTTTTTTGAGCTGTCTCAGCAATTAGATGATTCAGAAAGTTAATTATTTCGTCAAAATATACATATTCACCTCATTCTCAATTTCTGAAAACAATGGTTCATTCAACTCCACTGTTTGAAAATTATAGAAAAACCATGGTGTAACATGATGACAGAAAGCGCATAAAAGCTGAGGGTGTTGTTTGTTTTCTTAATTTGTCTGTAAATGTACGTGAAATTGAAACAATAAAGATCTATAGAAGACTTGTAGCTGATAGTTAAAAGGTAGTGAATGGAAAAAATATTTTCGAATAGAGCCGTTATATGGATGAGAGATCGATTCATCTAGCATAATACGATGATATTTACTTTATACGTAATTTTTAAAACAACACCACAGGTGTTTGATTATGTAACGGCAGTTCAAGATGTTATTCAATGTGAACTATGAGAGCATCCATATTCTAGCCGAAATTATCAATAGCAATCGCTAGCTTCCAAACTATTATCTACCGACAGAAAATGTTGAAACATTTCTTGAAAAGATACGGTAAAAGAAATCGATATAAATTCAAACATTCAAATGTGTTGAGTAATTGACATTGTCATTCTTCAACAACATGTCTCAAAAAATATCTTTTTTTTCTAAAAACGTACTTATCCCTTTTGTGTATGTTTAAAAAACGGTCTCGATAGCTTATCTAGTTGAAGATAACTTCGTTGGCCTTGAATTTTGTCAAAGTTGTAACTTCCATTCAACGTTTATACATATATCTATATCTGTGTAGATATGAGTCGTTCACATTGGCAAATTTATTTTACTTTGATCACTATTGATAAATACATAGAAATCACATACTGGGCAGCATATTAGCACTCTTCATATACAACTATGCAACAACGTTAGAGCTTCGTTCTACGTGCTGAGACACTATTGAAAAACCAATAATGGACGGGGAAGAATGTATAACATTGTAAATTGACTTCACTATCTTTTTTTGTCGTTTGATTTTAGTTTTTACGTGTACTTTAATAGGATTTGTTGAGTTGTTCCTTTTTTTGTACGAGAATTTTACTTTCAATATTAAACTTTGAAAAGATATTATGATGCAGACTTTTGACCACTTCGCTCTGTGAACCCATGTTTCCCTCTTCATTTTGAAAAAGATGATAAAATAAGATCTTTTATATTAAAATCTAACGAACATATTCTAGTTTATCATTCTCTAAAATATTAACATTTTTGATGAAGTACTGATACAGTCTTATTCTGAAACTATAATTATTACAAAGTCTCATAAAAAGAACTGAATAATCAGTCACTTTAGTGTGTAGTCCATATCTCGAGAGTGAGAGCTTTAATTTGGAAGCCACTTTTGTGCCCAAACAGAATTTGCTTATAAAATCTTATCAGAATGTAGATCGAAATTAAAGTTTTAGCAACATAAAGTCATGAGACCAATCCATCTTCTTCTATGTTCCTATGTCTTGCAATGCTTGCCATCGTTAGCATCGAAGTAATGTTTCTTTAGCACCTATCTGCGACTGAGAAATAGAACTTCGGCAAAGAAAGTAGTCGATTTTGGCTTGCTTAAGATATTAGATTCGCTAAGCTGCTTTTGAAAATTCGAATCATAGTTTATAGTTCTACCATGTCTCAGATTTTGGTGTATTCCGATGCTTTATTGTGAGATATTACTGTTCTGAACTGTTAAGCAGATGTATATGACTAAATACAGGTCGGTAAGCTACATGTTTAACGCTAGCAATAATGAAAGCTATTCCCTAATCTCTCCTGTATTAGTAGACTTCCTCAACTTACAATAAAGTTGAAGAGTGAGTTATGAGAACCGAATCTTCTAGTCCAACGGCAAGATCCAAACGAGAGTTTGAGAATGGGTCATCTCTCTCTTCACGCCCAAATATACTATTGATTTTCTCTACGCGAAATGTAGTGAACCTAAATTAAAGTAATATTTTTCCAAGGATACCGAAATGATTGATTCGATCCGTTATGCTTGACAAATGAACTTTTGGTTAGAAACATGATTTTGCTTACAATCACTAAATACATACTATAATTCATTAGTTATTTTTATTGGTGGTGTGTCCTTTTCAATTTCGCATGCTATTGTGCCAAGATGGGAAGCTGAAGTTATTAAACACTTGACTGAAGTAAGCATGCAGATCTTTAGAAGAATTGAATCTCACTAACAACATCGATTTCATTGCATCTTAGATTTACTTCACTTATTTATACTGGGTATCTATCATTTGGATTATGTTCTGTATTATCGATATCATTCGTCATCGGCACAAAGTCCAAACTTCTACGGGAACTTTGAACCGACTGAATTCCAACCAGATTAATTCGACAGGTGATGCTCATTTCGCACAGAGAAAGCTTGTATCATCATTGTCAGAACCGACCCCAAAATCTTTGACTACACCTCATATCAAGTTAAAATTAGTGGATGACCTCGAAAAAGGTCAGTTTGATGACAATGATGATGGACAAACAGAGAAAAACTCCAATGAACCAATGACAGAGCAAGAAGAGACAATTAGTTTTCGTGATCATTGCATTAAATCAAATTCTTCGGATAATCTCTTAGACCAATTATCAGTAGCACAACCAACAATGGATACAGCACGAGACATTTTAACTCGACGACGTGCTCTCGATTCAACCGAAAAGCAGGATCTCATAGCTTATGTACGCCATCGAAGAAACAGTATATTTCAACACGTTATCGGTTACAATTACGATGATAATTCTATTACTGGTGGTCTTTATACTCGTGTAGGGATCGGAAGTAAGTTGAACATCAATTTATTAGTTAGCGGTGAACATCTAAAAAAATCATTCTAGTTTTTTGTCTTGGCACAGTCATTCATTCGAGTTTATCAATTTTAAGTAATTTGGAAAATTGGCCATGTACACGATGGACAGCTGTAATGGACGATTTATCGCGATTACTCTTCACTTTTATTCAGTTTTTCTTCATTTTCAAACACTCGAACGTATGCTATTCTGAAACAGTACAATATCAAATAATAAGTCGAAAATTTATCATACTTTAGCTCATCATTCGAACTTATGAGAGTCTTGCTCGTTTGGCAGTGATCCATATCGTAGTCACTAATTTGTGTGTATGGTAGGTTCCTTAACACTCAAAATGAGAAAAGCTAATTTCATTTTCAGACATTCATTGATGCGAATGTGATGCTCGAAAGTAGAAAAGCGAAATCTTTTGATCTTCAAACAATCGATTTGTTTCTGACAGAACTAGAAAATTTTCTTGAGGATTTCACTAAAAACAAATCGAATCGTTTGATTTCTCAAATTTGATTGAATCGATAGAATCTTTTATTCATCTACAATTCTATTGTTTTTAAAGCTTTCGAAATAAATTTTAATCCTGATAAGTTTATCATTTCAAACATGGATTATAAACGATATAGGTTTTTGTCAGACAATATTTCTACCGGTTTCTATTATCATAAGGCAATGTCGCATTACTTATGTTGACAGGTTTCGCATGGTCGTAATTGAAACTATATCACAAATCACAGAAGTAAACAATCATGAAGTGGCTGTGACACAATACAATAGCACCATTAGCCATTTTAGTTATGGTGAATACTCATTATCGTTTTGTATTTGTTTTTTCTTATAATTTTTCGAATTGCAGACAATCAAAACACAATAAATATTCTCCATCGGATACTGCTCTTCGATTTACGTTGTTCAAATATACTTGCCAACGGATTAACAGCAAATACCTTCATTCGTGAAGGCTACATGAAATTAAAACCGCTCCTATATCCATGCACTATTGAGTTTAGTCTTATGTGTCTCACAGTAAGTTCTACTTGTTTTTGACTCATCCTTATCTATCCTCATTGATTATCCATAGTTATTTTTTCTCATCTGGGAAAACATTGGAAAAACATTCACCTATAACATATCAAATAAAGAATCAACAAAAAATGTTTTCATGGTAAATTGTCATGCATCCGTCAAAGGACTATTTGTTGGCATGATCTTTTTCTCGTGTACCTTAATTTCTACTCTTCTCTATGCTATGTTTCGAAACAAAATCGGTGATACTATCCATTTGACGTCATTCTCATTAGCTGATATGGATCATAATCATGCACATAATATGCTTACAAGTACCGAAATTATATCACATCAACAACCTTCAATATCTTCGATAATACCTAGTGCAATTGCTGCTGTTCATGATCCACTTACTTCTGTATCAAAGACTTTGAAAAGAATAGATTACAGTATTGCCATTCTTGAAATCATGAATTTGTGTTTATTGACTCTTTCATTATGTGCTACAATATGGTCATTAATCAAAATTCGCAAGCTGAGCTATCGCCGAACAACGACACGTGAGAAAAAGAAATGAAAAGAATACCTTTCAATATTTATCTTTGTCAAATAGGTTTCGACGATGTTCTCATTATTGTCTCATTGACAGGCACCTATTTATATTCGATTTTTAGTGCTTTCGCTATTATTAGTAACCTGAGTTCATCAACATGGCTCGCCTATGTTAAAGTAGCAATCCTTATTTTAGGTATGATACATGTTAGACTAAAGGATTAAGATAGGTTATCAACGAATCCATGAAATACTTGACCGAGCACTGAGTCAGGCTAGTTTTCAACTAGATTGTCGTAGATTCTACTGACATGTTTAATTATAGAATTCGTCGAAGGTACCGTACATGCATTGTTTATTCTCATTGCATTGCGTAAAAGTTTGAAACGAACTTCTGCACATGAATATCCAGCACGTGAAATGATCACTCTACTGATCATGCTTGATTTAAGTCTGTGGTTTGAAAAAACAACAACAACAACTAAACATGAAGCAAATCCATTTCAACTAGCCTTCTACCATGTCATTCCATGGTCGATCATCGCTGCCATCGCTACACCACTTCAAATCTTTTTTCGTTTTCATGCATCTGTCTGTCTTTCACATATTTGGGCAAATATGTACCACTTGCCGCCATATCAACCAGTATCTCTTCGTGACCTTTGATGTTTTGTTTTTATATGCCATTGTGTTGTTTCTCCTTTTCATGGCATAGACAAATGTATCATTGATATAGATGCAGAATGAACTTTTTTGTTATTTTTCAAAAGCACTGATGCCACCAGTCATTCAAAAAAAATGTCTTTATTATTTTTCACTATTTATTTCTTGAAGGCAAGTGACCAGGTTACAAGAGTGTTCATGATCAGATTTGGCTCTACTGACAAGAAACGTTCATCAAATGATTTGAATTTAGTTACTCTTGTCAAAAAAGTAAATCTATATGTTGGATCCATATTTGCTGACGAAACTGAATTCGATTATTTCACATAGTCATCTACGATGTACACAAGCACTCATCTTTTTATTCTTACTGTTTTTTGTATTGATCGTAGAAATATCCTATCTAGTGACAGGACCGACATGACGATGATGACGATGGAGTTTGGTGAACGAGTGAAGTTTTCCAAGTGACAAACTGATTTTTGTAGAAACATATATGAGTGTATGCATATCACTACACTGATTGCCAATAACAAGATCTTAACAATCCTTAGACCATTCTAGATTCTATGCCGTAACTATTGATCTTCTTCTGAAAAGAATGTTTTTCATCAAATTTAGCTTCTAATTATTTACGTATGTACTACTAGACATAATATTCACAAGAGTACTTTTTGACAGACACTTCAATCGAAATCTTCAAATGTTAAGAAGCACCTTAATATAGAGAAATAGGACTGATTATGAAAAAGTAGCCTCCGAGGATTAACTTTTCTCACAGAATAAAAGGATGAAGAGTTGATTTATTGTATATATTACATTACATAATCTCTGTCGATTTACCATTTGTTGGGATATCAATCTCCGCTACATCAATATTCTATTTCTTAGGAAATTCGCATACGCAGGATTTTATCTTAAAAGATTCAAAATAGATGCATTTTATTCACCGTTTATTCATTGACAGTAGAACCTCTGTTCATTGTACCAATTAATATAACAGGAATTTTCAGTTTATTGGTTTTAGTTTATATTATTTAACGATGCGAAAAATGATGGTGTAAGAGAGCAACTCGTCTTAATATTATTATCTAATTCTAAATTTGAATGCCACTTTTCATTCTTGAAACAACTTATACTCTCTAGTAGAAAGGATAATTATTGAACGGCTAATATGTAGCATGCTCAATATTGAAGCGATGGTAATACTTATCTATGATCCGTCAGATTTCTCAAACATACTAGTATATCTCGTGAGTTATTTGATCGTTACGAACAGAATAAGCATGATGTCACGATATTTTCTCAATAGTGTGAAACTCGAAGCTTAGGCTTAATCTGTTTCTGTGCTATTAGAAAATATATTCAAAAAATAACAGATTGAGAACAAAGTGATAGAATATCTAGACAATTTATTTTAATCAATGTTTTTGAATAAAGTAAATTAAGCAACAAATTTGTTGAAATATTTACGTAAATATTTCTTGGAGTTTAGTATCTTAATACAAGCGAAAACGATAAAATACATTTACTTTAAAGTCATTTTAATAAAAATTTGAACAAGAAATAAGCCAAAACTCTGAATGATAGAAATGAACTCAAAAATACGGTCAATCTCAGTTAACTCGAATCTATTAATCATTAGAGAAATAGGATAAAAGTGTTTCAAACTATATTCAGTGAATTTTATTCTTTTTATGATTAATCGGAAAGGTTGAAAATTCGAAACTTTCAAATGTACTATCTTCAATTTATAAAAAAAACCGATCATCATTCTTAATAAATTCCTTTTCATATGTTGATATTTGCATTTATGAAAAGTTCAGTATTAGAAGCTTAAACTGTATGAATCAACTAACAACAAAAGGATGCTTCAGCGTTACTAATAAATCAAACTGTGCTATGCTACATGAAAATGAGTTGTATAATAGAGCAGCAACAGTATTAATTTGACTGGAACATGACCAATTTGATTAACTGATTATACAATTCTTTCCCAAGTCAGTTGAATGCATTGTTGAAAAAATATGCTTCACATGTTGACTGAATGACGACATACTTACAAAGTAAGCCCACATGTTATTGCATAATTACCATGTAACTTTTTCTACTTCTTTCTATATAACGATACGCTAAAACGTTCGCATTATTTTACTTTCTTCTATTCTCTCACACTGTACATAGAAACAGAAGAACATGCAGTGGTGTCGATCAATTATAGACCTTGCTTTCATGCTGCACGTGTGAAACTATTTGTATTGCATGAATTTGTCACAAAAGCATTATTGCTTTCAGTCTGTTTTGGGAAACTCCTTTTGCATGGTGAGTACTTGGATCTAGTCTTATTCAATCCTTCTGAAAGTTCTAGACTAAATAAAGCTTAACTAGTGCTGCGAAAACTAAATTACACTGGAGATTCGACTATGATTTTTGAAATGATATGAAGAGGTTGTTGTACTAGGTCAAAACAATCTTTACATTATCTCATACACGAAATTTCTGTATTGAATGATGCCATTGTTGAAGCGTTGTCTTGGAGAAGTATCCTTAAAACCAAAACATCAAGGTTTGCATTACGAAACATTCAATTCACCAGAATTACGACATATCTGCATTCTTCCTAATTTGTCATACTTCTCTGAAAGACCAGTAAAAGTAAATTACACTACAACAGCAGTTTAATTTGAGGATATTATTAATCTTCAGACTTCTCAATATTTGGTTTTTGATAATCCTACATCATACTATTTTAATCACAGTCATTCCTATTGGATAGAAATCATATTTTAATCTTTTTATTAAAAACTTTTCAAAGAAAATGATCCAGTGTAGAATTTCATGGCTCAAGACTTTGAACATCTATCGATGAATAATTTTTTTGAATTGAACTACTGTTGGAATGTGCTGAAGAGTATTTTATTTATGTTCTTTCTTTTACAGAAGTATAGAACATTTTGACAAAAGTAGATATGTTGTAATTCTGGTGAATAGAATGCTTTACAATGAGAAATATAACGTCTTGGTTTAAAGGATACTTTGCCGAGAAAACACTTCAAAAATAGCATCATTCTATGATGATATTTTATGCGAGAAGTGATTAAATGATCATTGAGGCGTATAAAAATCTCATTAATCTGGCGCAGAAGGGATAGTCGAATTTTCATTATGACAGAGTCTTCACTGTATAAATTAACTTCTATTCGGTCTAAAATTTTTAGAGAGCTCTCGTAAGTTAGGTCTACAAAACGTCTTTTAAAAGCGTGAAAAAAATTTAGGAACAGAGTAGGCTACAGCTGACACTGCGTGAATAGTTTTATATGTCAGAGAATAGAAGCTTTTTTTGAATCTTCAATTGACATAAAATCGACAATATATAATGTCCATCATACCATCCCAAAACTCAAATCAAATTCACACGAAGCTAGACTTTTACACATGAACTTGCTCGTTGCAGACGAGAAATGTAAAGATCCGCTAAGATACCCTATTTCGATTTAGCCAACCTGTATACCGATTAGTTTTTTTCATCTGTTTTTAAAGTGCATCGAAGCATCGAACTGATGTCTCAATGATCAGCATATGGATTCAAGTACATAAAGCTTCAAAACTGCACTTCCTATGTGAAAAACTGTAGCGGTCATGTAGCCGAATATGCTTTTTTGATTATTAAATGACCTTGCGAAACGAAATTTCTTTGGCACTGGAGTTTTCTTGTACAAAAAAGAATGTTTCAGAAATTGTACCATTCCGAAGCTTGTCAAATTTTATCATACAGAGAATACTACTCTGTGTAAATTTGTGATCATGTAAATATTATTTTCTATTTTTTCTACTCGACAGCTGTCAAAAGCATTGTTTCAACTTTCTAAAAACTGAATTAAGTAACTGTTGTGTAAGGCAATCATAAATTATCTCTAACTACTCGATTGTCGTAAGTCTGTTACTCATGCATCTGTTGCATCATGGCATTGAAAACATTCTTCTTTTCAGATAATCTTTCTTATTATGAGTGCTCGTCCAATCACTGTCATTGGTTGTGATATTGGTGGTGTAATAAAAAATCAGCTCAATAATGAACCAATTGAAAATGCTCTGAAATCTGTGATTCAATTATCACAAAATAGGTCGAATATGGTTATATTTATTTCTAAATGCAAAGAGAGTTACCAAAAGGAAACGAATACGTGGTTAGAGAAATACAACTTATCTCATATCAGAACATATTACTGTTTAGAATATGAAGAAAAAGTCAAGATTGCTAATGATAACAATGTTAATGTCATGATTGATGATAGAATGCAAGTGTTACGTTTTTTTCCATCTTCTATTATCAAGATATGGTTTTGTTCGGATCCAAAGAAAATTGCGGGAGCTCAGAAGTTTCAACCTGATTTTATCGATTCCGTTAGAATAGCTCAAAGTTGGGAAGATATAGTTGAACTGATTGAAGAGATAAACACATAGTCAATATTTTATCTGAGAATGCACTTTATGGAATTGAACGTGCAGTTCATCGTTAAGAAATCCAATTCATCGATTAACGTCAATACAATCTTACTGAAAAACTTCATGAATGATCAACGAACCTTATTGATTCAATAAAATAAATTTATCAATCTCACATTTTCTTATTCCTCAAAGAGTAACGTATTTTTGAGTTGATAGTATTGTTACATTAATTGATTCATTCGTGGGTTGTAACAAAAGGTTTTACATCTTGTCTTACAACATTAAAGAAGAACCGTGGTGTTCACATTGAATTCGGCAAAATGACAGGAAAACACAAGCAAGGCATTTCAGTTCACAAAATGTTTCGAATCGCTTCATTGTTTAGGCATATGCATAAAAAGTGTACTGAACTTTTTCATAAAAAATTTGAGCACAATTAGTATAGCTTTTGCTGTTTGAACACTGATCTGATCTCTATCCATACTGTTTATAAACAAAAAATAATTCTGCACCATCTCGTATATGAAGCATAACATTTTTTACAAAGATATTAGAGTGTTATGAGGTGCACTTTCTTTGAGCTATAAATCTAATTCGTGGTAATTCTACAATTGCTAAACTGATGTCCTGTGTTAAAAAAAGTGATCCAAAACATCTAAAATACCATTCGATAGCGCAAAGAAAAAGAATAAAAACAAATTTATAATTCGTCTCGAATCAGATTGATCTTGGTATCAAAAACCTTTGAGTAGTGTATTGCAAATCCTTCAGTAAAAAGTACCAATGCAGATATTATCGCGATTTTTCTGCTTGGCAAGATTGTCACAATGGTATAAGTTCATTAGTTATGCTATCTTCCAAAGAGAAAAGAAAAGAAAAGTCTGTGACGTGCTTCTATATATTAGATTTCCTTCGACTCAAATGTACCTAAGTAGTTAAATCAAATGTTTGTACTCTTTCGCGATATGAGTTGACCATGTTCAGTTTTTGACAGCTCTTTTACCAACTTTTCTGGAAAAAGTGAACAAAAACAGACTTCATACATGTTGGACATACCCATGCTGTTTTTGTATGATTTTTTTTCAAAATCTTGTTTAAGCTGTTGCCAATATAAGAATAATAGGTAATAGAGGTTTATAGGAGATAGCTCACATACTGACTTTTTACAGGTCCTCGTGCATTCAAAAATTAGATAACGTATTATGGATTGATTGATGAATTAAAGCCAATGACTTAATGGTTTTTTTCTTGCTTCAATCGAAGATAAAAACTAGAGTTATTATTGTTCTAGTCTGCAATGGTACACTTCGAAAATAGAACAAACAATTAAATACTCAATAAGGTAAATCCTTCGTCTATAGTTCGATCAAAGTTATAATCATTGAAAATAAATTTGTCTATAAGTTCATACCAATTTATGCGAAAGATGACTAATGCTTGGAATGTTCAACAATTAAGAATTATCATCATCCAACCAAAATAAGGGCAGCTAGGAAAATGGTATTACCTACGGTCGTTTTAATAATCCAATAAACTATTGCCTATTGCCAATAGATATTCACACGTTTTCATTCTTTTTACAGATAAAAATGACAAGAAAATTTTTTCAGAAATTCCTACTTTCTAGCTTGTGAAAAGAAACGATGTGAGCACTGAGAAGCCGATAATACTCTAATTTCTTATGACACATTACTTGTTGGCATTCTAAGAAAGTTATGTAACGAGATGAAATGAGTAAAGATGATGCTGTGAATATGTATCAGAGCTTCCAACAAGCTAAAACTCAAAAGTCAACCTACAGCCTGACCTGCAGGCGAAACTAGGCTGACTAGTGTTTTTGATTTTTCAGGTTCAGCAAATTGACAGTTTAGCAATAATTTGAGATATCATTTTCCATTATATAATTTAATTCGTTCTTATAAAAAGAATAGAGTGCAAACTCTTGCGAAAAACGCAAAATGAAAACAAAATAACTTTTATCAATATTTTTTGCAAAATAAATACTACAATTTACAAAATATAATTATGAAGTTCATGCTGTTTCACATACTCGAGAAAAATATCCAAAATAACAAAAAAAAAACATACGCTAGAATATATCTACAGTTCAAGAAAATTTATTTAGAAAATGAGAAATGAGAGAATAACAACAAGATAATATATTTAAATTTGACTATCTAATTTCGGCATGACTCGAATGCATAGCATATTGTCTAATTGTTAGGGATCCAAACAAGATCTTCGATCAGTTAATGTAAGACCAGCAATATTAAATCGTCGTTCTATACCAACACTAATGTTAGCGCCAGAATAAAAGAAGAATGGGTGAACGTGAAATAACTCGATAACGACAATACCTTGCGTCCTGCGATTTTCACCAATTGAAAGAGGAGAAGTTGGAATATATTTTTTCCCGATAATGTATAAAACAAAATCTTTTTAAAACTAATTAGATTTGAAAAACATGTAAAAAATACATGAAAATGACCTATCATCTAAATGAACTTTTGATATGACCTTAGATTTAGATAGAGGGACTTCATATCTATAGATCAAGATACAATGTGAATTGTTCTCTTAGTGTATTCTAAAGTTAAGCAAACGGAATCATGTGTTTACATGGGGAAATAATAGGTCATTTTGCGGCTTTTTTTTACTAAATTTCCGTATTTTTGGTCATAGTAGCTTGGAATTTTGATGAAAATGTAATGAGAAGTAAGAAAGCGCATTATGTCTTGAGCTGTAGATCTGAAGTTCCTCTATCTAAATCTAAGATGAAAATCAAAATTTCATTTGGATGGCAGTTCATTTTCATGCGTTTTTTTTACACGCTTTTCGAATATAATTAGTTTTAAAAAGATTTCGTGTTACACATTATCGGGGACAATCTATCCCAACTTCTCCTCTTTCAATTGATGAAAACCGCAGGTCGCTAACTATTGTCTTTATCGAGTGATTTCACGTATACTCCCCCCCCCCCTCTTTTATTCTGGCGCAGACATTAGTTTATGGTGCCATCAGCAGTTTCAAATTGACTACTGGAAAAATAATATAAAATTAGATCTAAGTAATCAAGTTTGGCCTGATCTGGCTTGCAGGCCAGGCTAGCAGCTCTGGTTCACACCCACATTGAAAATTTCAAATAATTATGGCTGAGAGTATTTATGGCGCAAAGAGTCAGTAGTATATATCTCTCAAGAACATTAAAGATGGTTTTTGAGATATTACGTTGAATATGAAATAACCATATTAAAAGATAGAGAACAGTCATGCCTATCATATGATATAGTCAAAGAATCTTTAATGCTGTCTTGCGAAGCGCACAAACTAGTCCTAAATAGTAAAAAATAAGTGAATGAAGCTCCATTCAGAATGAGCACGACAATTTGATTCAAATTCAAGTCCTTTGAGTGTTTTCTTTTCTTGATGTTTAAATACAATCAATGTTTTATTGATTTGCGAGACTATTCATTGTTTTTTTTATCTTTCTTGAGATCAATAGATTCCATTGCTTTCGAACATCTTATGCATTATCATGGTTCAAAATTTAATGAATATAAAATTGAAATTCTCGTTTTTTATTCTGATTTATCAAAAGTCATTTTATCACAAACAAAATTTCATCATGTAAGAAAATTCATGGACGTATTAATGAAAAACAAATTGTTGTGTTTTTGAAAAATCTAAAGCTAAATCTTTCATAAACAAAACATTCTTGTTTGTATCAAATGTCCATTTTGTAGATTGTGTTAGATCTTGTCCATTCCATGTAATTCTACTTGGTTGTTTGTTCATACCATAGATTCTTATTTCTTCTAATTTGATATCATTACTCATCTCCGGATACTTGTATGTCCATGGTTGAATCATTAAATGTGTTGAATCACAATTGAAAATGAAATAATTATAATGTGATTTTTCATAAGTATCAATCGATTCACCATCATCCCAGAATAGATCTCCTCCAGCCTTTTGTTGATGATCAAGTGCAACAATAAGATACATTGGTTTCTTACGTGATGCAACTGTATTCATAGCTGATTGTTGATGTGGTATAATAGAACCACCACGTAAAAATAATGGAATAAAATCTAGAGGTGCTGAAACTGTTATTGCTCCAAGTGTTGTTTTTTCTTCACCAGTATAATAATCAAACCATCGTTCAGTTGTAGGTAAATAAACCCATTTGTTAAAATGATTTTCATAAATAACTGGAGCAATAAGTAGATGCGAACCCCAAAGAAATTGTTCATCAAGTGGTAAACATTCAGTTATTGTCGGAAATTCATGACCCATTGAACGAACTACAGTACCACCCGAAATATGAACACGATGGAATAATGTATATAAATATGGAATCAATTGATAACGTGTTACCACAGCTTGACGATTTGAGGCTACAGCAGCTGGAGCAAAATTACCTGGATCATGATCTCTATATCTTAAACCATTATGATTTCGAAAGAATGGATTGAAAGCACCTAAAAACAAATATTTGAAAGATTATTTAAAAAAAAATGAAAAACAAACCTAATTGCATCCATCGTTGACACATTTGTTCAGTTGTTTCTCCTTCGAACCCACAAATATCAGCACCAACATATGGGATACCAAATAAATTGAATTCTAACATTCCAATAATATTGTATTTAAGATGTGACCATTGTGCTGAATTGTCACCTAACCAATGACCGCTAAATGAACCCGAAGTTGGAAATGTTGATCGACTAATAACAATCGATCGTTTATTTTCTGTAGCTCGAGCAGCTGGTAATGAAGCCATTGTTTCTGTCCATCCGTATAGATTGTGTACATCATAATGAGTATAGACAGCACCTTGACCATCTGTTTGTTCACCAATCATACATAAAGTTTTATCTGAGAGATAATCACCCAAAATTGATGTTTTATATTTTGGTGTTTCCAATGGTTCATCCAAAGGACAATGAAGACTCCATGATTCTGGGCGATTCCAATTAAATGGTCGATCTCTATTTGTATCGAAATTAGCTGGTTCACTAAATTTATTGAGGAAAAAAAAATCAAAATGAAAGAAAAATAATCATAAATGAAATTTACTTCATATCAATCCAAAGACCATCGAATTTCAATTTAGCATAATAATTCAAAACTTGTGATTTCCACCATTCTATTGCTGGTGGATAGAAAAAGTCTGGAAATACAGTTTTACCTAAATTCATTAAAGAAGATTTTAACAATTGCAAACTCTGAAAGATATTCAATTGTAAAACCCACAATAAAATATTCATTTCTTTTCAAAGTAAAAAAACTCGATCATAAAAAAAACATGATTCATATATTTGATCCTTTCACTTGCTTTTTCCATTGATCAAATAGTTTAGTTATAGAATGAAGAGAACTTTCAAAGCATCAGTTACAAATATATTATTCTTTCTAGTGATAATCTTACCATCAGGCCATACATAACCAAGCATATTTCGATTACCAGTTTCACTGAATTGAACATTACGACGTGTTGGCCATTTAATCCAAATATCATCGCGTTGTCCTTCACTATAAACAGAATAGTTTGGCTCTTCAGAATCAATAGCTGGATCAAGAATCGTGATAAATTTCATGCCATTCGAATGTAACCAATCGATATATTGAGGTAAACCACTGAAGGTATCTGGATCCCACGTGAAATCTAGTCGCTTTCGAAAATAATCAATATCACCATACCTAATCATCAATCAAACAATAAATATGAGAAAGAAAATGAAATAAAAAGATATCTATATTGTTTTATTTTTACTAACATAACATCTAGAGGAATATTTGCATTGAGTGTTCGTTGCATTGCTGCTCTCATATTATTCAATGAATCATAACCATAACGACAAAGTTGAAATCCAAGTGCCCAATAAGGTGGCATATAAGGAGTACCAATCACTTGTTGATATTGTCGAATAACATCTTCTGGTTTAGGTCCTGCAAAGAATAAAACATCCATAATACCACCAATCGTTCGATAAGTAAGCATAGCTTGATCATCAGCAAATTCATCAAATTTGTAATCTTGTGCATTTGAATTGAAGATAAGTACACCAAATGTTTGTCCATCATTTTCAATAACCATATAGAATGGATGTGTACCATATAAATTTTCTTGTGCACCATAAGGTGGTTGATCACGAGCAAATATACCATAACGATGTGATTCCTTGAGAACATGTCGAAAAGATTTATGAGTGTTTTCACCAAAACCTAAAACAAATTCAAATTGACTTGAAATAATATGTTTTTTTTTTCAGTATCAATTTACCATAAACATTTCTAGATGGAATAGTTGTAATTACTTGAATATATTTGTCATCATAAATGAAACCTTCAGCAAAAAATGATGTATCGAATAGAATTGAATTGGTATTTGTACGTCGAACACGAAAACCAACTTGTCCATTTTGAGTTTTGGTCATTTCATATTTAATTTTAGGTGTAACAGATGAAGATGGAGCAATAGGATTCCATCGAATAGGTACAGGAACCTCATAACGTTTTGAATTTGAATCACGTATTGTCATACGTATCATATCAGCACCTGAAACACTGACTTGAACATTTAAATTTTTAATATCTTGTCCAAATAAGGAAAATTGATTGGGTTCAGAAAGACGAGAAAGTGTATATTGTGTCACAGCACTAGAAGTATTTTGTGGAGCTCCTACTAGAGTATAACCACCTTTATCTTGTGGAATAAAGCAAGCAACGATGCCCCATCCAGAACTAGTATCCCAAGTACATCCACGATTTCTACATGAAAAATCACTAGCATCTAAAAAAAAAAAGTGTTCTATTTAGATTGATTCATATGTTGAAAACATAGTGTTACTTACGTGGATCAGGATGACAATCAATTCGATATTTAGGATCAGTATCAATGATACTAGGTCTTTGTACTACGAATATTTCAGGAAATTGCCATGTTATTACATGATTTACATCCATAGATAATCCTAATCCTTTTATTTCAATAATTTGACTTTGTGGTCTTACTGTTGGTGTAAAGTCTTTGTTATTAACATTGAATTTAAGTGGCACATCATCTAATCCATAGATCGTTAATGTATCTAAAACTAAATTTGACATATGAGGATAACTATTTTCATTAACATTGATTGTTAATTGTCGATTATTAGATGTCCATCGGAATGTACCATAGTAATACGCTTTTGAACCAATTGTATCAATTGATTCACCATCATCATAGAAGAGATCACCTTCAGCATTACCATGTGAGTCAAGTGCAATTACGAGACCAAATGGTTGTTCTCTAAAAATTAGAAAAAAAAACAATTGTATTATATTTAAACAATATAAAATGAGTCATATATTCACCTTGATAATTTTGTATTTTCAGCATAGCCTTGTGTTGGTAAAATAGCTCCACCTCTGATTAAGATTGGTATCGTTTCTATTGGTGCTGCTATTGATATGAATTGTTTTTGTGCAGCATATCGTAGACCGGTATAAAAATTATACCAATGTGATGATGGAATATACACTTGAACTTCTCGAACTCCATTATCTGTAACAGGTGCTATCATGAGATGAGATCCGATAAGAAACTGGAGAAAGATATCGAGTGTTGTCTTATCAGTGGGATATTCATGAAATAATGGTCGAATGACTGTTGTACCTTGTGTATGTGCTTTATAAAAAAGTGTATAATAATATGGCAGAAGAGTATAACGAAGACGAAGAGCCGAAACCATAATAGACACAGCTGATGAAGACCATGAAGCTGGATCTTGATCTGGTAATTTCCAAATATTATGCTAAAGCAATGAATAAGTTATTGTTATTGTATGTATTAAAGATTGATTTTGAAACTTACATTTCTTGAAAATGGATAAAAGGCACCAACTTGCATCCAACTACATAGAAAATAAATGATTTAATAAAATCAAATATAGATAGAAAAGGTTTTGTTACCGAATACACATTTCTTCACTGGGTATTCCATCAAAACCACAAATATCAGCACCGTTGAATGGAATACCGAACCAATTAAATTCAATCATTCCAATTAAAGATCGTTTCATTTCTTCCCATTGAGCACCATTATCACCAAGCCAATGACCACTCCATTGACCCGAACCAACAAACGTTGAACGTGGTAAAACTAAACTTCTTTTACCAGTTGCTTCTCGCATTGCATCCAATGTTGGTTTTGTTTGACTCCATCCATATAAACTAGAAACGAACATTATTTGTTATCTCAATTTTATTTTTCAATTAAATTCAACTCAATCTTACTTGTGAGTATCATAATGACGATATTTTGGTTGACCAGTTCTCATATCAATTTCACCTTGTTGAGCCGATAGACAAAGAGTTCGGTCCGATAGACGACTTGGTCGAGCCATCGAATTATCATAACGAAATGCAGCTTTAGTACGATATGGAGGATCATCATATTTGCTGTTTGGACATTTGAGTGTGTAACTACTGCCACTTAGATGTGCGTTCCATGGTACTGGTTCATTTGTATCGAACAGAGCTGTTCAAAAATGAAAAAATATTAGATTTCATGATGAATCATGCAAAAAAAAACTAATCCATGCATTTACCAGGTTCATTCATATCGATCCAAAGTCCATCAAACGTAAGATTAACACGACGAAAATCTTTGATCCATCGTGACCACCAAGATTGAGTTCGATTTGTGAAGAAATCTATCGGTAAAGAGAGAAAATACTTTTTGTTATTATTCTCTTATTCTAAATATGATAAGGTTTACAGAAGTGATTCGATGATTGAAAATAAGATATTTCTAACTAAGATTGTGAAAATCAATCGAAAGATTATAATCGTATTTATTAAAGATTATTTTGAGAATTAATTTCAAAAGATTTCTACACCAAAAAAATAGTTCGAACTCACCAATTGATAGGAACTATTCTTTTTTTTTTCTTTTACTAACCTGGAAAGAAAACATCGCCTGGCCAACAAGATCCTTTCATTAATGTCTTGCCATCATCCCATTTAATAAATACATCTTCTTGAATACCTTCAATCGTTGGTGCATAATGTACCTGATCATCAATTGTAGCCGGATCCAAAATTATTATGGTTCGAATACCATCTGCATTTAATTCAGCAAAATATTCTTTCATTCCACGAAAATTAACTGGATCAATAGTAAAATCTTTTGCAGCATCCATATAATCAATATCAGCGTATTGAACATCAAGAGGAATTCCAGCATCACGATTTCGTTTGACAACTCGTTGCATATGTGTCAAATTTCCATAATCCCAACGAGCAAGTTGAAAACCAAGTGACCAATAAGGTGGTAAAATAGATCGACCAACTAGCCATGTATATTGTTGAACAACTTGTTCAGGTTTTGGACCAAGAAATACAAAAAAATCCAAAATACCACCAATTGTACGCATTGTTAATGATGGAACAGATCCAAATGAATAATCCATAGCATTGGAATTGAGTAAAAGAACACCATGCATATTACCTGATGGAACTTGATTAGAGTTGGCTGCTTGTTCCATAACAAGATAAAACGGATGTGATCCATATTGATTTGCATTTGATCCCCAATGAGTACCTTATAAAGATAAAAATTTACAAATGAAAATATTTTACATTTGTTAGCAACAAACCTTGATCACGAGCAAAGATACCCCATGTTTTACGTTCATTAACATTATGCTTCAATGTATCATGATTATTTTCACCAAATCCATAAACATGCGGTGACTGAAGACGTGTTACTATTTGAAGAAATTGATCATTAAGTATGAGACCACCAAGTGATGTATCAAATAATGTAGCCTGATTCGATCGACGTTTGATTGAAAATGAAAGAACATTATCACGTGAAAAATCAGACCAATGATTAAATTCATATTGAGCTGATGAAACTTGACCAGATGCCGGTGACAATGGGATTGGTACCTGAAATTGAAAGTGAAAATACAATGTTCTAAAAAGTGAATAATTTGTATATTGCTTCATTGAACCTCAAATCGTTGATTGTCTTCATCGTATAATCTGAATCGAATTATATCATTGGTATAATGTTGTACATCAAGTACGACATTCTCAATGGGTGCTGGAAACATACTACCAACTGCTTGATTGCGTTGCAATCGTAATCGAATACCATTTGCAGTTTGTTGTGGGTTTTCTCTCAATATGTATCCATAATTGGGTCGCAAATAACATTGAATAGTTCCGGAAGGGGACCAATCATCGAATAGACAATTGCGTGCTAAACAACTATCCTTTGAATAAGAAGAAAATTTCGATTCAGCATCAGGAAAACAATCAATTCGTTCATTAAGTTGAGAAGCACGATCAGAGATGTTGATTGCAACCGACAGTTTAAATAGAAGGAAAAACGCTATAAGATGGCATGTGACGGCCATCTAAAATTCAAAAAACAAAATAGCTTGAAAAGGAATGAAAATCAAATAGTAGAGGAATATGAAATTCTATTAGATTGGAAGGTCTACTAAATCTTTGAAATTCTTAGAACTATTGTAGGCAAAATAATGAGTGTGAATCAGCAAGAAATTAACAATTCGTAGAATAAGAAGATAATAACGAACATCACTCTTCATAGGCTAATACATAGGCACTCAAATAATCTTACTTTATGGAATTTTACATTGAACACAATAGTCGACTATTATGTTTATCATAAGTAGCAGAAAAGAGCTCCCTTTAACAAGAAATATTTTATCAATACCAGTTATAATATAGTTTCCGACTAGAATGGGGAGCTACTTCATAGTCAAATGTCGGACTGGAGTTTAAATACTTCTCTCCACTAATACCAACTAGAGCTTATATAATAAGTAGTTTATTTTGCACTTAGTTCAAATGAGAAGATCAACTGATATTTGATAGACCATCTTGCAAAATTATCAGATGCACAATATGCTATCAATATGTGCCTATCTTCCAAAGCCTTCGTAAAGCCGTAAAAAAAATATTTTTTTCTTTCATCCAATGCAAATTGAAATTTATTATCCATGAGTACTATTTCGTTTTACATACATCGGTCCCTTGATTTTTTTTTCTTCGAATGATATGTCACATTGATATGTGAAATTTTACCAACATTTCTTGGAGAACAAAGTCCAATTGGTTTGTTCCTTTAGTAGGATCGTCATCCTCTGTATAATTGAGTACTTTTGTCAGCGTCATATTGATTTGAGTGTTTTTGTTTTCTCTAAAATTTCACATATATAATTAAACTCAAAAATAAATGTTAACTGAGTTGATGAGTAGTAATTGAAATGCTTTGATTGAACTTAGTCTACAATCATTTAAATAGAATATATTCTGTGAGTTTTATCTTTATCATACTTTTTTCTATAAAGGCCACTTTTCAATCTATCGAAAACTTGAATTCTGTATAACAAAAACATAGTGAGTTTTTCAGCGATTTTTATTAAAGAGATAATAATAGAAATTGTATTCATCATCGAATTTCTGATGTTATTATCATTAATGAACAATAAAGGAGATTGATCTGCATCTTATATCGTCTTAAGGATAAATAGCTTGTTGCAGACAAGTCGAACAGAAATGAATAATAACTATTGACTTGCCTACTCTTATTTTAATCTATTGAAAAATGTACATAATCAAAAAACCGATTCAACTTTTCGAATATTGAAATTGTTATCTTTCGTATCTGGATGCGTGGTCTATGAAGTTCCACGACATTTTGCACAGTGCGCGTTTCCCAATTATGAATATTCATGAATCAAAAAATATATATGCATCTTGAGTATGGAAACTTAAAAATTGGCAAAAGAACCAAAATTCAGAAAACCAAACATTTGAAAAGAATTTCGATTTTTATACTTAGGAATGGTTCTTAGAGACTTATGTTTCTGCTTTGTACAAATGTTGTTCAGTTATTGGCATGAGACAGTCTCAAGCGATGCGACTAGAACAGTCTCTTCGAATTTGTTTCAAGTTATTGCATCATACTTGAGTATGAAAAGCATGGCAAGAGCCTTCTTTTAATCATTTAAATCTTTTCACAAATTGAATAGAATATCTAATAGAATAGAAGGTACGTATAATACCTAATAATTGGTATTTTTTCAATGATCAATTGATAGATATTCCTTTGAAATTATTGTATTTGTTTTTTTTTTGCCTGAAAAATAAAAAGATTAGTCTCAGCACAATATCACCAAGTAATTGGCATAGACCAATTTTCGTATTAATTGAAACAGTTAGTTATTACTTACGAATGCCTTGAAGGAAAGAGAGAAAAACAAAAAAACAAGGCAATGAAAAAAAAAAAATCTCTCTCATTTTGTGTGCACTAGACAAAGAGCGTATGTCCGCGTGATCATTTTTTTCGCTCACAATTTGTCCTACTATTTGATTGCGTCCGATTACTACTGAATCAGTCGTACAATCGTTCTTCCTTATTTTAGTCTGTTTCTATATGAAGATTTTTTTTTCCTGTTCAAACTATTTCAGAATAGACAAAACTCTTTGCATTAGATCTTTCACCTCGATTTGCCTCTAAAACACATGAAAAATGATTGCAATGCCTAGAAATATTGCAAATACCCAGTTAAAAAATGATTTATCATTTTATGCGACGTTTGGTGAAGAAAAATGTTCCCTCTATAAACATCTGGAAGGTTTTCATTGTCTTGACCAAGAAAAATACCGATACTGCCAATGTCCATACGATGATCGTGATCGAAATCAGCAATGGTGATCGAGAAAAGGCGCGAGTTTGTTCAAATCGAATAGGTTATCGGGTTGAGAGACAAACAATGGGCTTTTATCGCGAAGAAGTAACGATCCATTATCAGGAGCAACATCAATAGCTATGAATTTCGATAGAAACAGAAGCCAAGAGAATAAAACTTAAGTAGATAAAAAATGTCATTTTTGTATCAAAAGAAATATATCGATTTGACTTGATGGAGAACAAACAACAGCAACATGCAATAGGTCGTTACTGTTCATATCATCGACGTTGATAAAGACGAAATGAGAGTAAGAATCCATTACGTAGGTATTGAATTTAACTTGCAAAAGTTTCATTATTGTGTTCGAGCAGGAGACATGTGTTGTCATGCGCACTATTGGTGGCTACAACGTCTAGTCGATTGTTATTATTGTTGTTGAAGTCATCGATATCGACTGAAAATAGATGAGATTCAGTGCCAGTTGAATATTGGACTTGTTCTAGAAATATTGCATTACCATGATCTAGGCGAATACCAATATCATCAGTATCAGAGTTGATGACAGTCATATCCAGTAGACTGTTGTTGTCGAAATCACCAACTATCAGTGAAATGAGTTGAGCATTGTATCGATTAGAATAAATCGGTCGGTTTTCAAAATGTCAATCACTATTTCCCAGCAGAAGGGGAAAATGAGCCCATGTTATAATTTGCCACAACAGTGTTTGACTGATGATCATTCTTTAAGCTTCCATGAACGATCACAATTAATCTTCAGTGTACCCCTATAGATAAGATATGGGTCACGATTTTAATCGATCACGAAACATTAGACCACTGCGATCTGACCAATCTAAAAATATTTTCAGATCAATAGAAGTCAGTGAGTATTTTGTTTTGAACACCTGCAGATGTTTATGCTTGTCTTTTCTGAAATACTTATATTGCAATGATTCTTACTTTCAATTCTTTTATAAGGTTCCCGAGGACAAAAATAAGAACCAATTCAAGGTTGGAATCGGTCAAGAATTTTCGAATCTTTTCGATCCAAATTTTTAGAACAATCCAATCTGACTGGTTCAAAACTTGTTTAGATTGATGGCATCCGACAAAAGTCATGGATTCAGGCAACGTAATGACCATAAAATTTCGAGATTAATCCGTCTCATAAATTGTGCTAAATTAGTCGACTTTCATGCAATTTTAATGACATGGAAATTCGGTCCACTGATATCATAAAGCTCATAACTCTAAAGATATTCTCTATTCTGTAACAAATAATTTTGCGTTAATTTCAAAAAGATCTCATTGAATTAGTCAATTATTGATAACGTTTGAAGTCATCGTCAAAAATCTAAGTAAACCAAGAGGCCTTCTGAACTTCTCATCATCTTTGATTGTCTCACTATCTTCCTCAAAGCCCTTGTTTGTATTATGTGCAAAGCTGTAGATCTTCATATAAAAAATAATTTCTTTTGAACTTAACCGTTTGTTTTTTTATTTGTATTCGATCATTTGGATCCTTTTACTTGCCCTGTAATTTTATTTATTGGCTTTTAAATTTATTAACCAATTTATTCAATTATAAATCAAACATTGAAAGAATTTACTGATAACTCATGTCTTTTCCTGATGAATCATTGTGTTTATTGATCTTACAATTATTTAACGTACTGACTATTTCATCTTTTTTTTTTCGGAACATTTAAACCACAGTCGTAAAAATGTCATCTCATCGTCGATCTTATTCGTTTCATTTTCACTTTCATACTGGTAATATATAAGCCAAAGAATTGTATTTATTCTCAACATTCATGATGCACCGTCTTGTACAGTCATATGAATAACTTTGATATCGTATTGAAATGGAAACATATCTAGAAATATCAGCGACAAAATCGATCTGAATCGTGCAAATGTACTATGTTTCTTATGTAATCTCTTCCTTGAAACTCTGATGCATACTGTTGTGCCTCTGCATGTATGTGAGTGTGCGTTTGAATTAATGCTTGTTTTTTTTTATCAACTGAAAAAGAGAAAAGTAATTAGTCAACTAAGTAGCGGACGAAAAACAAATGCAGTGATGACGACAATAAGAGAATATTTAATAACAAGCATCCATTTTTTGTGTTTGCATGTATTTACTTTTACAACTCGACAACAATGCTGTGTATGAAAATAATTATTCTTATGCTTTTCTTTCGATTGTTTGCTCTTAAAACGACTCTCAACTTGCTCTCGAACATTTTTCTATCGTTTAAGCGGAGGAAAGACAAAAAATGAACAGCACTCTTCTATTCTTATGTCGCTTTTTTATTGTTGACAAAGAAACCAACATATTCACCAATTTCACAAAGCAAATTGACTGTTTCGATAGATATGGGAATGTATGAATTGATTTCATTGTAGTTTGCTCGACTATTTATTGTGAACTGTTGCTAAACCAATGCTGAAAGAACGATCACATCGAAGGAACTCAACACGACTAACACCTGTAAATGAGAATAAACCTACAATCACCGGTCTATCGCTTGAATTTCGATGGTCAACAGCTGCAATAGATCAGACCACGAAACCTTTTAATCGACCAGCAACTCCAGTTCCACTAATCATCAACTCCCGTTATCGCCAAAAATCTCACTTAGCCAGTCTTTCTCTCTCAAGTACATTGCACCAGTGTGGCTCTTCTGGTACGTTATGCCGAAATTACAGCTGCAACAAATATAAAATGAAATTGAGAACATGTTACCTGTATGCTTTTATTTTATTTAGATCGAGGTTCAACTGTTTCGTCGGCATTATCGATGCAGAAATCTGCGTGTCGTTCACTACACTCGCTTAATATGCGACAAATCAGTGCAACCAAACCGAATATGTCACTTTTACCAAAGCGCACACCTGTTGATCGTTGTCCTACACCATTTCAACCGCTCTTACTCAGTTATTCTCAATTGCATCGACCAGCACTACAACGAGATAAATATCGACTTTCTCAACCTCCTATGCCTGTTGATAAATTAAATGGTATCTCAGTTGCTTCAAGCAAACTTTCATTATCGTCCAGTCCCTCATTGACATCGACGGTATTGCCATCACTGATCGAAGAACTTCACTTACCAACCAATCATCTTGTACGTTTACATACACCTCAACTACGCTGTTTAAATATTTCCGACAAATATATCAATGAAGCAAAAGAACTTTATTTTGATGCTACATCAAAAGTATTCTTGCCGCGCATGCCAACTATGCATGCCTCCTGAGAATATCATTGTGACATAGACGAACTTCAAACGTTGATTTGTATAGAATAAATATAGTTTTTTTTTTGGTTTTGTTATTTATTTTGTTTTCATCTTAAAATCCAAGAAGGAAAAAAGCATACTTCTATACTTCTGAAATATAAGTTTTACTTTTTGACTCATTTTTGTCGACTTTTTCGTCATTCGATATCGGCATCAGTCAAACATTGTCGAGATACACAACTAATTTTGAATCTATTTCAAATAGTATCTAATTCACACGACGAAGATCGACAATCATTAGTTGAATATCGATCACAGATGATATGACTCTCTATTTCTCTCAATTCAGGTGTCTTATTCGAAACTATTTTTAGGCTCATTGATTGGCTACTGTTATTTTTAACGATTCATATTATATTCTTCATTTCTTAAAATCTTCCATATTTATCATTATATTGACTGATGGAAAAGCCTCAATAAGTCGCAATATATATCTTCAAGATTCGAAAGCTATTCGACGTTGATATCACATTGAAAAACTAAATATTTCTATACTGGATAACAACGCATGATCAAAATGCCCATTGTTATAAATGTAATATTGAAGCGTTAAATGAAGAACGATGTACTTGTTCGATATGTCACAACTATTATTTCTCTACTGTGTACCAACTGAAAGGTCATAAATATTCATGTGCATTGACCTAATAATCAAAGAATGATGATTGATTCAACAATATTTAATCTATTTTGACTTTGCTACTATCTATGAATATTTTCCTGTGTAAAAATTGTATACTAAAAAACAAAGATAGCAATACAAATATTTTTTTTTCTTGAAAAAGCGTGCGATAAGAATTTTCTTTGATATATTAACCAAACGTCGATTTCTTTTTAATTTCAAAATCTTCCTCTGTCCTAATGGAAGAAAGATATGAGGAAAAAAGCAGCACACATGTGTGGATTACTTAATTCTCTTAGAATTGATTAACAGTGTTTTTAGTTATATATTCATTTGTATTATCTAAGTTAATGTCACCTTTTTTTTTGCTCAATTGAAAGAGAATTAAGTCAAAATACAAAAAAAAAAACAAGTATTTAAATATATTAAATGCGTCGATTACTTCTCTTTTGAGGATTGTATTTTTAATAAGAATTGAGAAACCTTGTTTAAATATAAATTTCAAACAGGCGATCGAGGTTTTTCTACAAAATGTTTTATTAAATGAAAAATTATGAAATATTTCTTCGAGAATCTTTTACATTACTTGCTCATCAATTAACAATGATTTTGTTAAAAAAAATCGATTCCAATCAATGATATATTAACTCTAATCATATTAAATTATTACTAAAAATCAGCAAAACTTAACTAAACTCACTTATTAGAATATGATTGTGAACTTTTTGTTGCAAATACGGAGTCAATGCAAATATAGAACAACGAAAAATATAAGAAAAAAAGATTATTTCATATGTAGCTATATAAGTATTATTTTTCTTGTAAACAATGATTTTACGAAAGGCATAACTGTTGTACTTTACTTTGAGTGAACTATATATGAATCAATGAAGATTGATAAAACAAAAAAAAAAAATTACAATTCTTGACTTTTTGATCTGGCAATCTTAATCATGGATAATAGTACAATGAAAAACTTTCTTTGTTTTTTTTTGAGCGCATTGAACAATATGAATAATTATGGAAGCTTGAATAACTTAGTTGAATAACATTCAAAACCACTTTTCTTTTAAGTAGATGTCTCATCAAAGAATATATATATGAAAAGATAATTAGAAAAAAAAACATGTTTCTGTCTACATTTATTATACTTAATCATACCTCTAACATTAGACTTTTATTCACGCGATCTGTTTAACATGAGATAATACTCATCTTAACAAAGAAAAAGATGTGTTCAGAACATGATCATTCTTGTACATTAGCCGACTTATTCGTTGTACGTATCAAATAAAAGAGATAAGCATTAGTCAATTAACTTGACAAAGTATATAACAAAAAAAGGAGTAAAAAGAACAAGCAAATTAATTATTATTGTATGTATCAACATAGAAAAAGATGATCAATGATAGTGATTAGAAGTCTACCATACTTCAAAAGCATAGAGACATATCGGTTAACCTTAAAGAACTCTCATGAAAAGAAATATGATGAGAAAAATCGATGATCTATTTTCTTGTAATGTGATTCAAATATTGGTGAATGTTCGACTGATTGAGTTTTTTTTTTTTCTTTTATTTCACTTCATGTTCTTAAAAACTCAAGTTGACGGTATCGAACACTTATTGCTCTTGATCGATATCTTAAAAATGTCTGTGACAATGTCGATTATCGTTCATTCTCACTTGTCCATCTGTTTCAATCTCATTTTCTTCAAAGAGAATTCTTCAATGTCTTAAACAAAAAAAAAAAAAGAAATGAATTGACCGACACATTCATACAAATTATTTCTTTTAACTGTACAAATGCATATGTATAGCTTAATAAACGGTCATAGGCTAACACCGTATATAAATAGTATTGTTCACAGTATGTAGTCAATTACAAATCATTTTTCTCTATCATTTAACTCATAGATATTTGCTTTTCATGGATTGAAATTTTCTTAAGAATAAATTTTATCAAAATTTACGGTAGATTCTTAATGATGATGATGATATGAAAATTGAATTAACTTGTTACGATGAATGATTAAAAACTTTCAATGACATTTAATCTAAAGTAATATGTCTTTTATACCTTTCTCATGTCAAATTTGTTTTAATGATATTACATCATTCTTCCTTCTGTTTTTTTTCAAAAAAAATGTTAAAAGAACGCAACATAGTTTCTTTACTTTTTTTCTAATAGCATGAAATGGTTGATTCATATATTATATATGACAATCGAGATCGATCTCGTTCGTATTGTTTGACATAAAGACGGTGAATATCTAACCAAAAGGGACAAATGAAAAAACGTGATGATTATAAATAAAGTGAATGATCGAGTTCACGTTCCATTTCATACTTGACATCTATTGTCCTTTTTCTTCTCGCTTTCTTTAAAGATTTCCTTCCTGTTTGACGCGCTACGTTTTTTTCTTCTTCTTCTTCTCATTCTTTGGACGGCTCTTGTCGTTGTCCATTCATCAAATAATTATAAACGAGAAGGGAAAAGAAGTACGGGACTCTTGTTCTTTCTTTCTTTTTGCCAGAAAATGATGTAATCAAATCATATAAACACGCACGCAAAGAATCAAACGAGTGATTTTTATTCAATCTGTTTCTATTCTAATTATAAATCAACAAGTAAGTCATGTAACTTAATATCATACAAAAACATTTTAACGAAGTCTATACATACATATTAATAATTTGAATGTTCTAACATATATTTATTATATTGATCTTGTAAAAAATATTTGCCTGAAGGAAACTTTGACTATAAAAATCGTATTTTACGTAAGTAATTACAACAGACTGTTTATCTTAATAGTGTCGATAGATACATAGACAGTAATATGGTTATTGATTATTATGATGGTTACGGACGAATAAAAGCAATGTTATGACAGATAATCATGCATATGTATATTCACATCATAATAATGACCTTCATACTAACATGCAAACATTATCCTTGATCTCTCTTTCCATCTTTTTCTTTGTTTGATGATTCAATGATTCGATACATATAATCGCATGTATGTGTGTGTGCAGTGTTCCTGTCATCTTAATATAAATTTCAATCAATGTTCTCTACTGACATTATGTTTATACTCATCACACTTCGAATAGTGATCAATAATAACCACTCGACCTATGTCTATTCATTCAGTCGTATTATTTAAATAATGAGTAGGAGTCAACGGGTTATCAATATAAATTTTTGGTATTTTGCTTAAAACAAGGTAAAAATGATAAATCATTATAGTAGTTGTTATAAATGTGGAAGATAGACTGTTTAATCATTCTATTGAATGATTAGTTATTGATGAGATATTATATCAGTTGATTAACACCTGAAATATTTTCTTTGTATTTGATTATAATTTAAATTAACGACAACAATATAGCATTGAATTTTAGTCAATATTCTAATTTATTTTGAACCATATGTTCATGTTATATTTCATATATTGAAGAGACAAACAAATATAATAGCCGATGGGGTGTAAATGTCTGTGTTGTCGTTCTGTTAATTTCTCTTCATTACAATCATATTGATTAAGAAGACATGATGAAATTATTTGTTTTTTTTAGATGATGTTTTTTATAATTTTTTTATCTATATTATCAATGATCTATGGTAAAAATGAAAATCAACAAATAATTAATATACATATTAATGAAGAATTACCATTATCAACAATACTTTTTATAACAACAAATAATATAACATATCGTTTATTTGATTCAGGTCGAAATCAAAATTCTTTTATATATTATAATGTATCAAATGGTCAAATTTCATTATTACGTTCAGTTGATCGTGAATATTTATGTTCAGAACATATATGTTCATGTACAAAATGTCAATTAATTATTGAATTAATCGAATGGCAAATACCATATCGTCTTTTAAAACTTATATTGAATATTAATGATATTAATGATCATATACCGAAATTTTCATCTGATAATTATCAATTAAATATTATTGAAAATATTCCAATTGGATTTGAATTACCAATAGAATCAGCTTATGATGCTGATTTAGGTGAAAATAGTCGAATTCATTATGAACTTAAAAATCATAATGATGATGATGAACCATTTGAATTAATTACAAAAAATAATGGAGGACTAGTATTAAAAGTTATCAAAGATATTGATCGAGAAAAACAAGATTTTTATCAATATGAATTAATTGCTTTTGATAATGGAAAACCAAGAAAACAAAGTTCAACAAAATTATTTATTCAAGTTAATGTAAGTATTATTCAATTGAATAAATATTTGATTTTGATCATTTTTTTTTTTGATTAAGGATATGAATGATAATTCAGTTCATCTTTCTAAAACATATATTCAACTTCATGTTAGTGAGAATACACCTATAGGAACTGAATTAACATATATTAATGCAACAGATAATGATATTGGACTTAATGGAAAAGTAAAAGTCTAGTTTAAGAAAAAAAAAAAAAAACTTTGTCTTTCATTCTTCTAGATTTATTATTTAATTAGTAATGGTTTTCCATCTTCGAGTTGGAGAGATTATTTTCGTATTGGAGAATCTACTGGAATGTAAGTTTTATTTATTTGTCGTTAATCAAATGAAATTTTTTTTTTTCGTTTTAGATTAACTCTTGTTAATCCACTTGATTATGAATCTGAACAATCTTATCGATTAATTATTCAAGTTCGAGATCGAGGTGAAAATTCACTTGCATGTTTTATTACTATTGATATTTCAATTATGGATGAAAATGATAATTCACCACAAGCATTTATTACTTTTGTTAATCCACTTATAAATAATTCCATAATATCTATTATTGAAAATACACCAATTGGTGAAATTTTAGCACATATTTCAATTTCAGATCAAGATTCAGGTTTAAATGGTAAAATGTCATATAAAATTGAACAAGGTGAAAATATAATTGGAATAAAAATATTAGATGAAAAATCATTTTTATTTATTATTAATGATTTAATTGATCGTGAAAATGAAAATTTAAAATTTAATAAATTTATATTAATTATATTTGATCATGGAAAACCATCGAAATCAATACGATTAGAATATCAAATAAATATTATTGATATAAATGATTCACCACCAAAATTTAATTCATCAATTAATTGTAATTTACATTTAAATCTTTTACAAAATCGATCATTAGGTTTGTTAAGAAGAACAAAAAGAAAAATTTTTTTTTAATATGAAAAATATTTAATTTTTTTTTAGATCAACCATTATTTCAAGTTCAAGCAAATGATTTAGATATAGGTGATAATAGTCTTATTTCTTATTCTATTCTTCCACCATTTGAAAATTTATTTATAATTAATAATCAAGGTGAAATATTCTATTTTAATGATTTTAATGAATCTTCTTATCATCTTCAAATAATGGCTATTGATCATGGAAAACCTATTCAATTAAATTCAACTTATAATTGTCATTTATTTATTTCGAATAATAATCATTTTGAGAATTTAAATAAATCTATATCATTAATTGATAGTATAAAAATATTTCAATATAATTATTTATATTTATTTATTATTTTTTTAATATTTATCTTTCTTTTAATAATATATTGTTTTTATAAATTTATATTTAATCATGAAAGACATTTTCAACAAAATAAAACATATCATTTATATGTTTGTATTCCTCAAAAATCATCATATATTAATAATGAAAGTCTTTCAAATAGTCAAATAAGTGATAATCAATCTGAAGAACATGAAAGACTTGTTCAATTAAATAATGATCAAACATTTGATAAAGTAAAAAGAAAACATTTTGATTTTTTTGTAAATAAATATTAATTACTTTGAAATATTTAGGATTCATTATTAGATCTTCATCAATTTTCTTCAAAAGTTCGACATAATTCTCCATCATCATCATCTTCTATTATTATTTCAACAAAATCTCCACATGAATTTATAAATCAATCAAAACAAGATAGTCGACCTGTATCTTTATCAATTTCAACAGCAACAACATGTACAAGTACTGGAACAGATTTATCATTTAAATTAAATAATACAAATTCAACTGTTGTTCGTCTTGCAGAAGAAGAAAATATTGATGTTTAAATAGACTAGTCATTGTATGTGTTTTTTTTTTAATATTTTGATGTTGTCTTTTGAATTATTTGTAAAAGAAAAAAGAATATATCTATTTATAAACTTTTAGAATTGATTTTACTTTAAATCTCAATTTCTTCTCTTTTCACATTAAGGAAACAAAAAAAGAAGAATCTAATCTTTCTAGACGAAGATTTTGTTTGAATTCAATGGAATTGTATTATGTATGAAACGAACATATATATTTCAAACTATTGCATATGTTTAATAAATTTCATAGATTATACAATGATTTTGATATTAAGCTTAAAAATTGTCAATGAAAAGTAACATCATATATTGATATAGGCTTTGTTCAGTAAAATCTTTACTATGGTCTATTTCAATCCTGAAATAAATTAGAAATTATTCAACATAGTCATGATACAGCATAAATTGAATACCTATTAGAACTTTCGAAAGTTCTAAGGTAAACCAAAGTAAATCGACTGATGAATTCTTATGCTCCTAATTGGTTGTTACCTTTCAATACTCCTAGACATATTACACATGAATATTCATGATTAGTTCATTCGATGAATGAGATAGTATATTTCTTTTTCTTTCTGCTTACATACTCTCATTACTCAGAAATAATAGAAGAGCAATACAAGACGTTTTGAAAAGAATGAATTTCATGTAACGTTTGCATTCCAAATAAGCGAACTAAAATGCAAATTTCTATTCGAAAACTAATGGAAGTTCTGTTTTAAATTAACATACATGATCTTACACTAAGACTATTTGGCCTTGTAAGTATTATTAGAATTGATTGACCTTGATTATGAATTCATTCTGCATTCTTTTATATTTCACCGAAAAGTGACACGCTTTTGTAAAAGCTCTTTCTTAAGAGAGAACATTATTTATTCTGTTACGAAGAAAAAAAAAAGTAAAAAA